GTGCAATCTGCCTGAATGTATCACCGTATATACGTTAGCGTGCCCTTCTGATGGTTCAGTGACAATTTACTCAATAGTCTGGGAAGGTAAATCTTGCTCTATCAGTATTTAGCCCCAAAAGGATTTTTCAGTTTCTGTTACTTTACATTTATTGTATAGAGCAAAAATGGATGCGAGAGCTCATCTCAGTGTTTCACCAGCAGGGTGATCTGCTATTTCACATCTGAAAGCTTTTAGGGACAGATGGATGCAGAGAAGAATTTGGTGCCCCTTCCACAAACACACCCACGTTTTTGAGCCTCAGCCCCGCTACACAAGGACAGTCTGGGTATTGACTTGCAAATAAAATGCCAAGCCCGACCCCCTCTGCTTCAGAATCCCTGTATCCAAAAGGGCCGTAGCAACAAGCAGCTTGTTAAAGGGGAGTAGACTTGACTTGTTGTGACTGTGCTGGATACAAGAATTCTGTCTGGATATTGGCTTGAAGAATGGAACTGGGACAATTGGTGCTTATTTGCATGGGAGTAACAGCTGAATGCATAGTCTTTCATCAGCTGATGTCAAAGCACATGAGCGACTCTGCCAAACTCTTGTTGTTGTTTGTGCTCAGCATTATGCAAACGTATTATTATTTTATTCATATTACTGTAGTATCTAGGAGCCCTATTCATAGACCAGGCCTCCATTGGGCTAGGAACAAAAAGATAGTCCCTGCCCCAAGTGATTTACAATCTGTATTAGAAACAAAGTGCCTACTACAAAGTACTTACTATCTAAATCAAATACTTTCCATCTCCCTCTCTCTTCTTGCTGCGTTCACATTGAAACTGCTGTATTTAAGAGAGATCATATCAGCCAGGAAATGCAGCCACCTCTGGTGTGGCAGGCTCACCGCAATCCTACGTGACATTTCTGGGAAGATGATTAAGAATACGTACAAGGTTAAAAATGAGGTTGAATTGCCCCCCTGGAATTTAACCAGGGCCTGGCAATAAACACCCCTGCTCTTGTGAAAAGTGCTAGGCTGGGGAATACAGGAAAGGCGAGCAGGGTTTTCCTCTTAGCAGCATGATCTTTGGTGGAGTCTGGATGATCCCACTTCTTTCTCCATGATTGTCAGTTACCTTGTTCTGAGGTGTCCAGTAGTCAGTAATTGGGAGTGGGATGATGACACAGGATATGCTATAGCTTTGTGAATCCCAGTGCTGCTGGATGTGGAGGGGGAGAAGCAGGTTTTCATCCGCTAGATTTTTCCTCATTTATCGGAATGCTGCAGACCCACTCCCTCACTGCTTCCTACCCGTCTGAAGATGGAGAAACAGGCTAGCTAGTTTGCCGTACTCCCCACACAGGAGCCAAAGAGGGTTTGGGAATTTCAGGCTGCTCTCCTAGAAAATTGCTTATGGTAATCAGCAAAGACTGAGTGGGCTTTTTGTTTTGTTTTAGTTTACAGTGAAGCCGGCAGATTTGGCATTTATATAGATTTGGGGGGTTATTTGAACACAAAACATTACTGAAGCCTCAGGGGCTGCAAACTTAGATTAACTGAACTCATGTGTTTTGGTTCATGAGATCAACATGAACTGAAATCCTCATGTTTCCCACAGCCATACATATACGCTTGGCAGAATTTGATTTTAATGTTGACAGTTACTATTGGTAATATTGATGTTTATTGATAAGCATTTTTTCAATGTTTATTGGTTTTAAATTTTCACAGTTGCAGGAAATGATGCAGAGGTCAGATAATAATTATTTAATGACAGGAGATTCTGAGACTCAGAAATAAGTTAAAGCTTTATAACTGTTAAAACACAAATTATCTACAAGAGATGGTCAAAATAGACAAAGTAAATATCCTTAAATCAAACTCCAATAAGTTCTCAAGCAGCATTTTTCTTTCTTGGCCTCTCTGAAATTTTGATTACTACAGATGGAAATGTTTTTTTTTTTTTTGTCGGTTTTGTGTCCGTACATTGAAATCAACACTTGATGACATTTACTGATAAAAGTCTGATGCTTCCAAGCCCCCACCCACACTCTCTCTCTATGTATATTGTGTGTGTGTGTTTGTGTGTATAAGCCTGACTTCCACAAACTGCTCACTGCAGTTATAGTTAAGCACTGTGGTCAGAAGGTATTGGGCTATGGAGTAGTACTAGGCTAAAACTACAATGCCAGCATACAGACTTACTGGGGTCAGCAGTATTTGCTAATACTGTAATGCAGTGGTCCCCAAACTGTGCGGCGTGTCCCCTACTGGGGCACAGAGGAACATTTGTTGGGGGGGGACCCACCGTCGGGCCAGGAGCCAGGGGTGGTCCGGGCGAGCCCTCATAGGGAGGGAGCGCCACCCAGGCCCGCTGTGCCCCTAGCTCCACTCCAGCCCCAGGTCTGGCCTCGGCCACTGGCTCCTGGCCCCACTCCCGGCCGTGGTTCCACTCCTGACCGCAGCCCCAGCTGAGGCCCTGACTAGGGTTGCCAGGCCTCCAGGATTGCCCTGAAGTCTCCAGGAATTAAAGATTATGTCATGTAATGATATCTCCAGGAATTCATCCAATCAAAGTTGGCAACCCTAGCCATGACTGCCCCAGCTGCAATTCTGGCCCCGACTGTGGCCCCGCTCCCAACCACACCTCTGCTCCCGGTCATGGCCCCTGGCTCCCAGCCTCAACCGTGGGCCCAGCCACGGCCCCCGGTCCCAGCTGTGGACCCACTCCCGGCTGCAGCCCCCGATTCCCAGCCGCAGCCCCCAGCTCCGGGCTCGACTGTGGGCTCGCTCCTGGCTGAGGCCCCAGCGGAGCACCAGCCCCGCCCCCAACCGCGGCCCTCTACCGCAGTCCTGCTTCTAGGAGGGAGGTGCAGACCAGGTAAGGGGGGGTGGACAAAAATGTTTGGGGACCACTGCTGTAATGGAACCAAGAAGCTGACTAATGAACAGCCACTTCAGTCCTTTTTTAGGAGCAGATTTGTAAAGTTATGTAGGGGCCTAAAGATGCAGGTAGGTGCTTTTGAAAATCTCAGGGTGCCTAACTCCCATTGGTTTCCTGGGGGCTGTGGAGTCTCTGGGTGCAGGAGGCACGGTGCAGAGCTGGCTCAACTTTCTCACAGTAGAGTCTGGCACAGGGAGGAGGAGTGAAAAGCAAAGATGCTCACAACTCTTTTTGCTTCTCTATGGATGCCCCCTCCCCACCTGATGCTGCCTGGGAACACAGCTTTTGCAGCCTGTCAGAACTGGCCAGCGAGGAGTGGTCCGAGTCAAATCTGAATGGCATCCAAAACCAGATGGGACCTATTTTCCAGTTTGGACACAGTCAGATCACAGCCCAGTTCTCCTGAGATTTCCATTATCCACAATGGCTGAAATTTGTTTCGGGAGATTTCTTCTACTTAGGGACGAAGTCTCTCGAGAACAACTTGTTAGGTTTTGGTGCTGGGCCTCAAACCTGGGCCTGAATGATAGCCCTGAATCAGCCTTGAGTGCCAGAAGAAATCTAATCTAGCTCTGAATGCCACCTTCTCTCTGAATACAACCGTGCCTGTTCAAAGTGACACACCAGCAGTAGAATGCTTGTACTACGTTGAAAATGTTTTCAATTACGAACTTCAAAAGTAAGTCTGGTCAAAAAGTAAAATAGGGCAGGATAAATGTTTTTGATATTTTCCAATAGATGACTTTTTTTTTATTGACATTGTGATGGAAAAACAGGCTAAACATTTCTCCAAAATCTTGTCTCATTTTTTGACCTTGTACAGAGTGGGTGAAATTTTTGACATTTGAAAATATGACTATTTTTAATTGAAGTTTCAAATTCTGATGAGGAGCAGGGAAGGATGACGTATTTGGGGGGAAATTTAAAGAAAAATTACATCTCATTTTCCTATTAGCCTTACTGAATAGTTTTTACTGACTCATTTCCATTTCCCCTCGATCACTGTCTTTTTCAGACTTTGTACAGAATGTGATTGAAATTGCTGCACACATCTAGTTGATCACTGCACGTTATGTAGATTTAACTGTTGAAGCCACTTTCAGAAGTAATCATCATAAAATGATCCCACTTATCCTCAGAGAACATTAGAGGCACTATTGTGATAGCTAGGATTCACTTCATGGTAATAACTAATTACACTTTCCCCTGATTGCTCACTTTCATCTACAGACCTCAAAGGGATGTACAAAGATAGGTCAGCACTATGATTATCAGACTGTTTCACAGGTGGAAAATAGAGATTAAGGCCCTGTTATACAAGAGTTCCCATCAATCCAGAGTGCTTCATTTTTGGGGTGCACAATATGGGGTACCCAGTCTGACATTTAGAGATACAGAGAAGCAACCGCCTCTCTTAACATCAACATTAAAGTAATAGCACACAGCTGTGGTGGAGTGAAATGAGGATAGAGTAGGGAGACCAATGTTTTGTTTCTGATTCTACGAGAGACAGTGGCCAAAATTTTCTAATGCAGCCCTAATATTTTGGTGTCTCCCTTTTTTGTTGGCTAGATTATACCAACCTCTGACTTTAAAGTACACTTTTCATCTTATTATCCAGGAAGAGAGAAGTTTCTAAACTCCAGTTTTTTAAACCACTGAAATTCCTGATAGATCTTCCATTACTAATAGTTGGCTTCCAAGACTAATTGTCCTGGAGGTACCAGCTCTTTTAGGGATTCCAGTTTATAAGTATTCCATCAATAATTTCTTTTTAAGGGATTCATTTTTACTATTTTTAGAGTAATTCTCCTGAACTGTTTCCCAGACAAAGAGAAGGAACCAAATGCAGCATGGCTTACATTGCACAAACTCATTGATTTTTGAATTTGACATCATGGGCTAGATTCTGCTCTCATTTACACTGGTGTAAACCCAAAGAATCTCCATGAATTTCAGCTTAATTACTCCAGATTTCCCCCTGTGTAACAGAGAACAGAATCTGATTCTGCAGACTTGGTATTCATGCAGATAAAAAAATGTCACTTCCCTTTTCCTCCCTTTCAGTCATTGGAAGCGGCTATCAGACACTTAGAAGTTCAGATATTGAAATGAGGACTTCCAGTTCTCCTATGGACAATATGGAGACACTGACTACATTCTCCATAAGTGGAGAGAGGACGTTGCTGTCTATAACAAACAGTGCCATGTCTACAACTGCAACAGAAAGCACCACCTCTTATACAGAAATGATCAGATCTTCAGATTTAACCCAGCACTCCTCTTCAGTAGAGCAGAACAGAAGAAATAGCTCCTCAAGTGAGATGTATTTCACTGAGCCTGGAACGGAGCCTTTGATTGCACATTCTTCAGAGATACCAACCTATTCATCTTCACAAAGTGATCCTCCAGGTGAGTTTTATCATCCATAAGAGCAGTAGTCTTGGTAAACCCCACCCAATACTCTGCACCAAATGTAAGTAATGATTTATAAAGGAATCGTGCCCTGTTGTTGGGTAACTATATTCTAGGACATTCTTAATTTCAGGGGGTGATTTTTTTTTTAAAGAAAGGTGATCTGTTTTTTTCTGTGAGCTTCTTAGAAGCTTCATTTGTCATTCTTGACCAACCAGTGACATGGAGAGGGAGTCCATTATTGGTAATTTATGTTAACCATACATATGTCTCTAAGTTATTGAGCTCAGCCATCCAACCCTTCTGAATTTCATTACAAACATTAAGGCGACTAACATCTTTGATGGCCTTTCAGGACTGATTCTCATTTACACTAAGGCCCATTACGCAGCTCTGGCAATGTGACAGGGCTGTAGGGTAAATAAAAATCATTTTCTTATTTATAGGTAGAGATCCTGCATAGAAAGGTTTCAGTCAGTGATTTTTTTCTTAGACCCTTATCCTGAAAACACTTAACTTTCTTCATGCACATGTCCCATTGACTGTGACCAGGAGTACAGCGGTGTACATGCTTGAGTTTTTGCAAAAGCAGCAGGGCTATGGGTTGTTTTGTTTTTTTTTTCCCCTAGTGATTGAAAAATTCTCACATGTGCTATATGTGTCTGATTACAGCGTTCACACTTAAAAACATGCTTAATTCCACTGGATAATTAGACAATATCACCCCAGTATTTGCAGTATTCTCTGTGTGAAGTATAGGGAAGTTTAGGTAAGAGTGCAAATATTGTAGCAACTTTAGCTACTTGTATAAGCCAAAATTGGCATGTCTTTAAGAGCTGCCGCTGTAGGTGCTGTTAGCACAACAATACAAATATTTTAATTCTCCTTATTGTATTTCAGCCATTGGAAGCAGCCACAAGACAGCTAGCATCTGGGATATGGAAAAAAAGACTCCTAGTTCTCATACTGATAGTTTGTACATTTCACCTACATTCAGCAGAGGTGGGGAGAGGACAATACAGTTGCTAACAAACAGCATCACTTCGACTAATTCACTAAAAAGCGCCTCTTCTCATTCAGAAATTGCCATGTCTTCAGATCTATCCCACTCCTCAGCCTCTATATCACCGTCTGGAGGAAGTAATAGATCGTCAACTATCGCTGATCTCCCTGAGTCTTCAACAGGGCCTTTACTTATATATTCGCCTTTAAAGAGTGGTCTCCCAGGTGAGCTTTACAGTCCGGAGGCTTGTCATTTCACAGTAAAAATATGATAAAATGTCATTTTTTGAAAATATAGGAATAATAGTACTAAGCACTTAGCAATTTTTATTGAAAATTTAGAGAGGGTTCAAGAATTATTTAATAGCTGTAAAATATGCCTTGCAGTTAAGAGATTTGCAGTAAGAGATTTAAAGAACTCAATCTACTTAGCAAAGATAAGGTTAAGAGCTGACTTGAGCATAATTAGGTATCTGATAGTAGATTCCTCTTTTATTTAGCAGACAAAGGCACAACAAGACCTAATCGCTGGAAATCGAAGCCAGACAAATTCAAACTGGAAATATCTTGCAGATTTTTACTAATCAGGGTAATTGAGCATTAGAACAATTTTCTGAGGGGCAGGAGGGATTCTCGTGAAATCTTTAAATCAAGTTTGGAAGTCTTGCTGAAAAGATACATGCTCTAGCTCCATCACAGGTCATTAAGCTTGATACAGGAGTCGATTGTTGACATTCTATGGCTGTTAAGCAGGCAGTCAGACTAGATCACCATGGTCTTTTCTGGCCTTAGAATCTGAAAAGTGCTTTTCAGCCATAAATCTCATAAAGCTTCAAAAGGATGGGTAAGTATCATTATTCTAATATTACAGATAGGAAAACAGAGGTAGAGAGAGGTTAAATGGTTTGACTGAGGTCACAAAGGAAGTCTGTAACAGAGCCAGCATGCAAACCTAGGCCTCTTGAGTCTCAGTCTTGTTTGCTACCTATTGGAACAAATGGCTTCCTCTGAATTGTGTCCTTTTGTCAGAAATTCACACTAAAGGCCACTCTAGATTTCATGAGTCAATAATATTTTTGTAATGGTTCAGTTATTCTTGGAGATTCTGAAATGCTTTTTTGTAAAGCGTTGTGGGACCTACTGATGAAAAGTGCTATGTAAGAGCCAGGCCTGATTAGTAGTTGTACTTCTTGAACAACTAACTGTGGTGGAGAGGGAGGTCATTATCGGTAATTCACACTTTGTGCACTTAGGCCATACATTTAAGAAAGATCCTTTGTACTCAGTCTCCCAGATATGCTGAACTTAATTGCAAACACGCTATTTTTATTATTTATTATTATTATTATTTATTTATGATGACTTTTTAAAAATAATTTTTATTCTATTATTTTATATTTTTGGGGATTTACTGTATTGTTCTTTTAGTGCTAACAGTGTGATAGGCCCTCTCCAACAGATGTCGATCATGCATTCTAAGGCCCTGATCCTGCAAGCTGATCTGTCCCCACATGAAACTCAGTGACTTCACTGGGGAACCGGTCCACCTGCATGGGTCTGTTTGCAGGGGCAGGGTCTACATGGACAACATACAGAAAGGGGAGGGACAAAGGGGAAAATGCAAAAGCAATGCAGTTTGGTGAAGTTCAGTATGCATCTTTGTTCATTGATTTTTTTTTTCCTTAACTGATCCTTTAATAGATTTTTAGCCATTATTTTATCAATGGTTATCAATGGTTGGTTGTCCAACTGGGAGAACATATCTAGTTGGATCCCCTTAGGGTCTGTCCTGGGTCCAATAGAATTCAATATTTTCATTAACGACATAGATGATGGAGTGGAGAGTGTGCTTATAAAATTTGCAGATGACACCAAGCGGGGAGGGGTTGCTAGCTCTTTGGAGGACAGGATTAGAATTCAGAATGATCTTGATAAACTGGAGAATTGGTCTGAAATTGAGAAGATGAAATTCAATAAAGACAAGTTCAAAGTACTGTCCTTAGGAATTAAAACTCAAATGCACAAATACAAATTGGGGACTAACTGGCTCGGCAGCAGTACTGCAGAAAAGAGTCTGGGGACTAGAGTGGATCACAAATTGAATATGAGTCAACAGTGTGATGCTGCCGCAAAAAAGACAAATGTCATTCTGGGATGAATTAACAGGAGTGTCGTATGTAAGACATGGGAGGTAAATGTTCCACTCTACTTGGCACTGATGAGGCCTCAGCTGGAGAGCACTGTGTCCAGTTTTGGGCACCACACTTTAAGAAAGATATGAACAAGTTGGAGAGAATCCAGAGGAGAGCAACAAAAATGGTAAAAGGGTTAGAAAACATGACCTCAAAGGAAAGATTGAAAGAATTGGGCCTATTGGGCCTAGAGAAGAGAAAACGGGGGGAGGGGGGCGGAATCTAATAAGTCTTCAAATAGTAAAAAGTTGTTATAAAGAGGATGGAGTTCAGTTGTTCTCCATGTTCACTGAGGGTAGGATAAGAAATAATTTGCTTAGTTTGCAGCAAGGGACATTTAAGTTAGATATTAGGAAAAAATTTCTAACTACAAGGCTGGTTAAGCACAGGAACAGGTTCCCTGAGGAGGCTGTAGAATCCCTGTCATTGGATGTTTTTAAGAACAGGTTAGACGAACACCTCTCAGGGATGGTCTAGGTATAGTTAATCTTACCTCAGCACAGGGGGAAGTACTAGATGACCTTTTTGAGGTCCATTCCAGCCCTACATTTCTATGACTCTATGAGTAGACATCTGTCAATACTTGTTGGGTTTCCTCAGTATAAAGGTTTCAGTCAATAATTTCTTTCCATGGTATCATTTATTTTCTCCAAACTGCAAAATTTTCATTTTCCCCGCTACATACAAACTGTGAATCTGAGTATTATTGGAAGAAAAATTGTCAAAGTGTTTTGACTTATGAGAATGGAATTTTAATATTTCTTTATCCTATTTCAGCCATTGAAGGTAGCCATCAGCCAATTAGCGGCTCAGAGAAAAATATTGCCAGTTCTCACATTGCCAGTACATACATTTCAACTACATCCACCAGAGCTGGAGAGGGGATGTTACAATCTCTAATAAACAGCAGCAGATCTTCTAATGCAACAGGAAGCTCTACTTCTGGTACTGAAATGTCCAGCTCTTCGTATTTAACCCAGTCGTCATCTATATCTTCTATAGCACTGACCAGTGGAATTAATATCTCATTGGCTGCCACAGATTTCACAGAGCCTTCAACAGATCCTTTGCTTACACCGTCTCATTCTGCTTCAGAAACTGCTTCCAAAGGTAAGCATTATTAGTCCACTAGCTTGCTGTTTTAAAGTTTTTTAAATTTATTTTAAAAAGCCTTTGTGAACAAAATGCCTAATTATTCTTTTACTAGAGGAGGAATAATATAATATTTTGCACTTATATAGCCTTTTCCCATAGATATCAACAAAATTCACAGCTAGGTATCCATGGGTAGGTATCATTACTAGAGCTTGTGGGAAAATGGAGGTGTGGTTTGGATTTTTGGTGGAAAATTTCAACTTTTTGTAGAAAAACTGAAAAGTTTTTGGTTTTCAGGGTTTTGATATTTTGATACTTAGTCAAAAATTTTACACAGAAAGCTGATACTTTTCATGAAAATTTTATTTAGTCAAAATCCAATTTTCTGTCAAAAAATAGTTTTTACTATCTCTAATCATTACCTCCAGTCATGCAGCAAAGCTGGGATTTGAACCCAAGTCTCCTGAGTGTTTGTCCTTTGCTATATCTGTTGGACCATACTGCTGCCTGTGAACTGAGTCCGGTCATCAGTAATTCAAACTAAAGGCCGTGCTGACTTTGTTGTGTCCACTAAGATTTGTGGTTCTTGGCCAGCTACACTGGAGAAGGAGTCTTAATATCCACTTAGAATCATAGAATCATAGAATCATAGAATATAAGGGTTGGAAGGGACCCCAGAAGGTCATCTAGTCCAACCCCCTGCTCAAAGCAGGACCAATTCCCAGTTAAATCACTTATCCCACCCCTTAGCATCACATGTGTTTTTGAACATCTCTAAGGGTTTGTCTACACTGGGACACTATTACACAGCAAGCCACTAGTTTGCCATGCAGCAATATCCTGTGTGGACAATGCTGTGGTGCACAAATGGTATGTCTACACTGCCATTAAACACCCACAGCTGGCTCATGTCAGCTGGCTCAAGCTGCTGGGCTGTTTAATTGCGGTGTAGACTTTCAGGCTTGGGCTGGAGTCCAGACTCTGGGACCCCGCAGGGGAGGAGGGTCCCAGAGCCCAGTCTCCAACCTGAGCCGAAACAGCCTGATAGTCAGAGCCCCACAAGCCGAAGTCAGCTGACACAGTCCAGCTGCAGGTGTTTAATTGAAGTGTAGCCATACCCTAAAAGTTCCAGGAGCATTGGCCATGTCTGCTTGTATAGTAAGTCAAAGAATGGTCCAGGACTTCTACTGCATTATAGCAGTGTCCACACTGGATGTTAGCATGCAGCAAGCTAGTGCACTATAGAGTCCCACCTTGTCTTGCTGCACAGTAACATCTCATGTAGACAAGCCCTTAGTTATTCAGTGTTCTAAGCGTGCTGAATTAAATTCCAAATATTTTTGTTGTTTTGTAATTTGTAAGTGCTAGCAGCATGGAATGCAAAGCAATATCACTGAATGATGAAGTTAAGCATGCTGATAGTTATTGCCACAGTTTTTTTAGTTGCACTTTTCATGGTTTATGTTAATTTTTTGCAAGTACTAATTTCACATGTTGTTCCTCACTATAAAGGGTTCAGATCTCTCTAAACTAGCAATTTCTCCAGAATGAAAAGTACCCGTATTCAATATTCATACATGCACTATTTGCATCAGGGTGATATGAGAAGAAAATATATCTGGATTTATGTATATGGAATTATAATCTTTATAATCTTTTAGCCGTTGGAAGTAGCCACCAACCAATTAACATCTCAGCTACAGAAAAAAGGACTTCTGATTTGCATACCACCAGTACATACATTTCAACATCATTCACCAGAGGTGGAGAGAGGACGTTAAGGTCTCTAATGAACAGCAGCATATTACCTGATGTAGCAGACAGCTCCACTTCTGACTTAGAAAATACCAAGTCTTCAGATTTACTGCAGCCCTCGTCTCCTGGAGCACAGGCTGGAGGAAGTAACATCTCATCAAGTGACTTCACTGAGCCTTCCACAGAGCCTTTGCTTACACATTCTTCCAAGGTCCCAAGTTATTCGTCTTCCCCAAATGATTTTGCAGGTGGGTTTTGTGATTCCCAACTGTTTAATGCACCATTTACAAACAAAAAACAATAAAAAGTACCTCCCATCCCCCAAAACTGAGTCAACTCTTTTTTTTTTTTAAGAATCAGTTGCTCTTTAATTCAGACTCATACTTATCTAACGTCCTTACATGCCCCCCGTCACCACAGTATCTGAGCACTGTATAGTCTTTAGCGTATTTCTCCTCACAACACCCTTGTGAGGTAGGGAAGGGCTGTTATCCCCATTTTGCTGATGGGGAGCTGAGGCACAGAGAGACTGACTGGTCCAACGTCACCTAGGAAATCTGTGGCAGACCAGGTGTTTGGACTTGGTTCCCCTTATGGTCCTAAGCTAGCACTCTAACAACCTCTCTTTTAGACTGCTCTTAATATTTTAATAGCCTTTTTCCCTTTTTAAATCGCAATCCATTTTTTCTTTACAATGCAACCATTTTTTCTCTGCCAGATTTTGCCACCATTGTCCATGTCCACCTGTGTCATATCCTGCAGGTACTCTCATTATGATATATGGGACTACATGCATTGTAAGATATGACAGTGTAAAATTGGAGATTCAGGCACGTAATGATTCTGTACCAACTGGCAGGACTGACAAAGGCATGCAACTTTGGATGGCGTACCTTGAAACTATACCTGTGGGTGGTACTTTTAAATACTTCTATAGGTGTTGAATTTCAGTTCCCAACTTCACTGAATTTCATTACCAACTTTGCTTTAGTAGCGCATTTTATGGCTTTTTTGAGCCCACTTTTTACAAAAGAGCGAAAGTTTCTAAAGATTCCTGGATATAAAGGCTCGGATTCTCTTCTGTGCTGAGATCAGTGCAGGACGATGGGAACTAGCATGAAGCAATTTACACCTCCCTGATTTGCATGGTGTGTTGGCCCTGACACAAAAGCATAAATTAGAGCATTTTAGGGAATGCTCTAACTTACACTACCTGACTTTCACCTTATTGGACAATGAGCCTATCGAGAATTATGCCCTGTCAGACCCCCTGGCCATTCCCAATATGACTCCAATACTCCACCTTCCAGGATGTGTGTGAGGGGCAGTTGGTGTAGAAGCCAGCTATGCCAACTGAGGACTCCCCTGTGCCTGGGGAATTTTCTGCTGGCCATTAAGAGGCAGATCCATCACTCTCTGTTAACCTTTCTGCTTTAGATCAGCCACAAGAATCAATCTAAGTGATAGATTTCACTCAATAATTTTCTTTTAAGAAATTATCAGTTTCTAAAGACTGAAAAGTTTCCACATTTATTTTCATATGCCTTTTATATATATATATCAATGAAATGTGTTGTTAAGCTAACAGTGTAAGTCAGTGTACCACATTTTATGAGTGTACAAAAGTGCCAGCTACTTGACTGGCTTGGTTCATAATTTATAATAATTCTAATGCATTATTCCTACTGTTAGGTACTTACTGTGTCAGCATTTTTGGAGAGACCTGCTTATAAAAATTGCAACCAGTGGAAAAGATTTGTTTTTTTTTAATGCACAATGATTAATACCCCACTGATTTTATTCTTCATTATAAGCCATATTCATTGCATAGCTTAATTTAAGTGAGAGTTAAACTTTGGATTTATTATTTATTTATTTTGGGCAAAATGGATTATAGAACTTGCAAATCAATTTTCATTTGTCCACATTGAATTTAATTTCTATCTTTTAATCCCGTTTCAGCCATAGTACGTAGCAACCAAGCAATTAGCAGCTCAGCTACAGAAAAAAGAACTTCAGTTTTACATACCACCACTCCATATATTTCAACAACATTGATCAAAGGTGGTGAGAGGACATTAAGATCCCTAACAAACGGCAACATATCACCTGATGCAGCAGAAAGCTCCACTTCTAATTTAGAAAATATGAAGTTTTCTGATTTAACCCAGGCTTCAACTGCTGTAGCACAGGCTGGAGGAAGTGATACCTTATCAACTGACTTCACTGACCGTTCAACAGAGGCATTGCTTACACATTCTTCCAAGAGCTCAAGTTATTTGTCTTCACCAAATGATCTTGCAGGTCGGTTTTGTGATTCCACAGTTGGTTCGTGCACCATTAAAGAAAATCATAAAAAGGGCCTTCCACCCACCAAATATTGAGTCAAACTCTTTTTTTAAAGGAATCGGTTGTTTTTTTAACTCAGAATTATACCAATCAAAATTACTTATATGACCCTCTGTTACCATAGTATCTGAGTATATGAAAGTGGACCACATCTTCTTAACGGGAGAGTGCCTACCACCTGGCTAGTTTGGGCCATGCTTTATTTATAATCATTTTAATGTATCATTCCAAGTCTAATGAAATTCATTCTGGTCCGTACCTTCCACCCTTGGAGAGTCCTTCTTATGAAAGTTTAAATCAATAGAAATTGTATTGTTTTTTAAAGACCCTGTGATTTATACACAGTTTGTTGTTCTTGATCTCGTTTTTATAAGCCAAATTCATCCCATATTTAACTCCCTTTAAATTGATGGAATGATATGTGGGACATAATTGGTTCTGTATTTCAGGACAAAATTACTGTGGACCTCAAAAATCCAGTCAGATATGGGAATATCAAATTTAATTTCCGTTTTTAAATCCCATTTTAGCTATTGGAAGTAGCCACCAACCGATTAACATCTCAACTACAGAAACAAGGACTTCTGATGTGCATACTTCCAGTACCTATATTTCAATGACATTCACCGCAGGCTTAGAGAGGACCTTAACGTCTCTAACAAACAGCAGCAGCACATTGCCTGATGCAGCAGAAAGCTCCACTTCTAATTTAGGAAATATCAACTCTTCAGATTTACCCAAGCCCTCATTTGCTGTAGCCCAGGCTAGAGGAAATAATATCTCATCAAGTGATTTCACTGAGCCTTCCACGGAGTCTTTGCTTACACATTCTTCCAAGATCCCAAGTTATTCGTCTTCCCCAAATGATCTTGCAGGTGGGTTTTGTGATTCCCCGGTTGGTTAGTGCACCATTCAAAAAAATGATAAAAAGAGCCTCCCACCCACCAAATATTGAGTCAAACTCTTTTTTAAAGGAATCAGTTGTTTTTTTGACTCAGAATTATACCAATCAAAATTACTTATATGACCCTCTGTTACCATAATATCTGAGTTGTCCATCAACATAAGTTAGAGAAGTTGAGGGGCTACTCCAGGTTACACCAGCTGGCTATCTCCCAACTGAACCATAAGCTTTTTGAGAATTATAATGCAAGCATGCCCTGTCCTGCCCCCTCCCCAGCCCCAATGTGCTTCCACTACTCCACTTTCCAGGCGGGGTATGACGGGCAGTTGAAGTAGAAGCTTTCTGTGCCAGTTGAGAGATCCCCTACACCGGAAGAATTTTCTTCTGGCCAGTTAAGGCCAGAATCCATCACTCTTTGCCTAATCATTTCAATGCATCATTCCAAGACTAATGAAATTCATTCTGGTCCGTACCTTTCACCATTGGAGAGTCCTTCTTATGAAAGATTCAATCAGTAGAAAATATTTTTTTAAAATACCCTGTGATTCATACACAGCTTGTTTTTCTTGATCTTGTTTTTATAAGCCAAAGTCATCCCATATTTAGCTCCTTTTAAATTGATGGAATGATAGGGACCAAATTGGTCCTGTATTTCAGGGCAAAATTATTATAGAACTCACAAAATCTTTTCATCCCACTTTAGGTATTGGAAGTAGCCACCAACCGATTAACATCTCAACTACAGAAACAAGGACTTCTGATGTGCATACTTCCAGTACCTATATTTCAATGACATTCACCTCAGGCTCAGAGAGAACCTTAACGTCTCTAACAAACAGCAGCACATTGCCTGATGCAGCAGAAAGCTCCACATCTAACTTAGGAAATATCAACTCTTCAGATTTACCCGAGCCCTCAACTGCTGTAGCACAGGCTGGAGGAAATAATATCTCATCAAGTGATTTCACTGAGCCTTCCACGGAGCCTTTGCTTACGCATTCTTCCAAGATCCCAAGTTATTCGTCTTCCCCAAATGATCTTGCAGGTGGGTTTTGTGATTCCCCGGTTGGTTAGTGCACCATTCAAAAAAAATGATAAAAAGAGCCTCCCACCCACCAAATATTGAGTCAAACTCTCTTTTAAAGGAATCAGTTGTTTTTTTGACTCAGAATTATACCAATCAAAATTACTTATATGACCCTCTGTTACCATAATATCTGAGTTGTCCGTCAACATAAGTTAGAGAAGTTGAGGGGCTACTCCAGCTTAAACCAGGTGGCTATCTCCCAACTGAACGATAAGCTTTTTGAGAATTATAATACAGGCATGCCCTGTCCTGCCCCCTCCCCAGTCCCAATGTGCTTCCACTATTCCACTTTCCAGGCGGGGTATGACGGGCAGTTGAAGTAGAAGCTTTCTGTGCCAGTTGAGAGATCCCCTACACCGGAAGAATTTTCTTCTGGCCAGTTAAGGCCAGAATCCATCACTCTTTGCCTAATCATTTCAATGCATCATTCCAAGACTAATGAAATTCATTCTGGTCCGTACCTTTCACCATTGGAGAGTCCTTCTTATGAAAGATTCAATCAGTAGAAAATATTTTTTTAAAATACCCTGTGATTCATACACAGCTTGTTTTTCTTGATCTTGTTTTTATAAGCCAAAGTCATCCCATATTTAGCTCCTTTTAAATTGATGGAATGATAGGGACCAAATTGGTCCTGTATTTCAGGGCAAAATTATTATAGAACTCACAAAATCTTTTCATCCCACTTTAGGTATTGGAAGTAGCCACCAACCAATTAGCATCTCAGCTACAGAAACAAGGACGTCTGATGCGCATACTTCCAGTACCTATATTTCAACAACATCCATCAGAGGTGAAAAGAGGACATTAAGGTCTCTAACCTACAGCAGCACCTTGCCTGATGTGTCAGACAGCTCCACTTCTTACTTAGAAAATACCAAATCTTCAGATTTACCGCAGCCCTCGTCTGCTGTAGCCCAGCCTGGAGGAAATAATATCTCATCAAATGATTTCACTGAGCCTTCCACGGAGCCTTTGCTTACGCATTCTTCCAAGATCCCAAGTTATTCATCTTCCCCAAATGATCTTGCAGGTGGGTTTTGTGATTCCCTGGTTGGTTAGTGCACCATTCAAAAAAATGATAAAAAGAGCCTCCTGCCCACCAAATTCTTTTTTAAGGAATCAGTTTTTTCAACTTAGAATTATACCAATCAAAATTACTGATATGACCCTCTGTTACCATAGTATCTGAGTTGTCCATCAACATAAGTTAGAGAAGTTGAGGGGCTACTCCAGCTTACACCAGCTGGCTATCTCCGAACTGAACCATAAGCTTATTGAGAATTATAATGCAAGCATGCCCTGTCCTGCCCCCTCCCCAACCCCAATGTGCTTCCACTACTCCACTTTCCAGGCGGGGTATGACGGGCAGTTGAAGTAGAAGCTTTCTGTGCCAGTTGAGAGATCCCATACACCGGAAGAATTTTCTTCTGGCCAGTTAGGGCCAGAATCCATCACTCTTTGCCTGAACTGGGTGAAATTTTTCTGACCAAAATTTTTTTTTTGTGAAAAATGAAGATGTGGTGATACTGAAATGTGCTGTGATTTCATGTCACTTCCTCCAAATTCTTCAGGTGAAAAACCCCAACAAAAAGTACAAAAAAAAAGTCAAAACATTCCTTTTGACATTTTGGAAATGAATCGTTTTAATTTTTCAGTTTGCTATGACTTTATTTAGAAATATCCTTCAATTTTATTTTAAAAAGCAAAAATATTTTAAAAGTACTTGAAATCAAAATGAAAGTTTTTTGTTTGATGGAAATGAATTTTTTTAACTTTTTGTTTCACGAAAAATTTGTGTTTTCAATGCCAAATTTAGTTTTTGGGGGTGTTTTTTTGGGGGGGAGGAAGGCTGTGGGGTAAGGGGGGGTTGGAATTGCCAGGGACCTAAAAAGTCTGTTTTTCATAGAGCTCTCTGTGCAACCTTTCCCCTCTGGAACAACTACAGGAATTTAAGCCACAGGTTTCACTCAGTAATTTTCTTTTCAGTAATATCCATTTTCTAAAGACTGAATAACTTCCAGATTTGTTTCCCCACGCGGTGTCTATATGTATCAATAAATAAGTGTTATTAAACTAACAATGTACGAAAATGGATCACATCTTCTTAACGGGAGAGTGCCTACCACTTGGCTAGTTTGGGCCATGCTTTATTTATAATCATTTCAATGCATCATTCCAAGTCTAATGAAATTCATTCTGGTCCATACCTTTCACCATTGGAGAGTCCTTCTTATGAAAGTTTCAATCAGTTTTCAATCTTAAAATATATTGTTTTTAAATACCCTGTGATTTATACACAGTTTGTTGTTCTTGATCTCGTTTTTATAAGACAAACTCATCCCATATTTAGCTCCCATTAAATTGATGGAATGATATGTGGGACATAATTGGTCCTGTATTTCAGGGCAAAATTATTGTGGACCTCAAAAATCCAGTCAGATATGGGAATATCAAATTTAATTTCCATTTTGAATCCCATTTTAGCTATTGGAAGTAGCCACCAACCGATTAACATCTCAACTACAGAAACAAGGACTTCTGATGTGCATACTTCCAGTACCTATATTTCAATGACATTCACCGCAGGCTCAGAGAGGACCTTAACGTCTCTAACAAACAGCAGCACATTGCCTGATGCAGCAGAAAGCTCCACATCTAACTTAGGAAATATCAACTCTTCAGATTTACCCAAGCCCTCAACTGCTGTAGCACAGGCTGGAGGAAATAATATCTCATCAAGTGATTTCACTGAGCCTTCCACGGAGCCTTTGCTTACGCATTCTTCCAAGATCCCAAGTTATTCGTCTTCCCCAAATGATCTTGCAGGTGGGTTTTGTGATTCCCCGGTTGGTTAGTGCACCATTCAAAAAAAATGATAAAAAGAGCCTCCCACCCACCAAATATTGAGTCAAACTCTCTTTTAAAGGAATCAGTTGTTTTTTTGACTCAGAATTATACCAATCAAAATTACTTATATGACCCTCTGTTACCATAATATCTGAGTTGTCCGTCAACATAAGTTAGAGAAGTTGAGGGGCTACTCCAGCTTACTCCAGCTGGCTATCTCCCAACTGAACCATAAGCTTATTGAGAATTATAATGCAAGCATGCCCTGTCCTGCCCCCTCCCCAGCCCCAATGTGCTTCCACTACTCCACTTTCCAGGCGGGGTATGACGGGCAGTTGAAGTAGAAGCTTTCTGTGCCAGTTGAGAGATCCCCTACACCGGAAGAATTTTCTTCTGGCCAGTTAGGGCCAGAATCCATCACTCTTTGCCTGAACTGGGTGAAATTTTTCTGACCAAAATTTTTTTTTTGTGAAAAATGAAGATGTGGTGATACTGAAATGTGCTGTGATTTCATGTCACTTCCACCAAATTCTTCAGGTGAAAAACCCCAACAAAAAGTATTAAAAAAAAAGTCAAAACATTCCTTTTGACATTTTGGAAATGAATCGTTTTAATTTTTCAGTTTGCTATGACTTTATTTAGAAATATCCTTCAATTTTATTTTAAAAAGCAAAAATATTTTAAAAGTACTTGAAATCAAAATGAAACTTTTTTGTTTGATAGAAATGAATTGGTTTTACTTCTTGTCTCACCAAAAATGTGTTGTCTTTTCAACGCCAAATGTGGTTTTGGAGGGGTGTGGGGTTGGAGGGTGCGGAGGGTCTGGAATTGCCAGAGACCTAAAAATTCTGTTTTTCATAGGTTTCAGAGTAGCAGCCGTGTTAGTCTGTATTCACCAAAAAAAAAGGAGTACTTGTGGCTCCTTAGAGACTAACAAATTTATTTGAGCATAAGCTTTCGTGAGCTACAGCTCACTTCATCGGATGCATCTCACGAAAGCTCATGCTCAAATAAATTTGTTAGTCTCTAAGGTGCCACAAGTACTCCTTTTGTTTTTCATAGAGCTCTTTGTGCAACCTTTCTCCTCTGGAACAACTACAGGAATTTAAGCCACAGGTTTCACTCACAAATTTTCTTTTAAGTAATATTCATTTTCAAAAGACTGAATACCTTCCAGATTTGTTTTCCCACGCAGTGTCTATATGAATCAATAAATAAGTGTTATTAAACTAACAATGTACAAAAATGGATCACATCTGCTTAATGGGAGAGTGCCTACCACCTGGCTAGTTTGGGTCATGCTTTATTTATAATCATTTCAATGCATCTTTCCAAGTCTAATGAAATTCATTCTGGTCCATACCTTTCACTATTGGAGAGTCCTTCTTATGAAAGTTTCAATCAGTAGAAAATATATTATTTTTTAAATACCCCGTGATTTATACACAGCTTGTTGTTCTTGATCTCATTTTTATAAGCCAAATTCATCCCATATTTAGCTTCCTTTAAATTGATGGAATGATATGTGGGACCTAATTGGTCCTGTTTTTCAGGGCAAAATTATTGTAGACCTCACAAATCCAATCAGATTTGGGCATATGAAATTTAATTTCTGTCTTTTCATCCCACTTTAGGTATTGGAAGTAGCCACCAACCAATTAGCATCTCAGCTACAGAAACAAGGACTTCTGATGTGCATACTTCCAGTACCTATATTTCAACAACATCCATCAGAGGTGAAAAGAGGACATTAAGGTCTCTAACCTACAGCAGCACCTTGCCTGATGTGTCAGACAGCTCCACTTCTTACTTAGAAAATACCAAATCTTCAGATTTACTGCAGCCCTCGTCTTCTGTAGCCCAGGCTGGAGGAAATAATATCTCATCAGGTGACTTCATTGAGCCTTCCACAAAGTCTTTGCTTACACATTCTTCCAAGATCCCAAGTTATTCATCTTCCCCAAATGATCTTGCAGGTGGGTTTTGTGATTCCCAATGGGTTAGTGCACCGTTTACAAACATAAAACAATAATAAGAACCTCCCACCCCCCAAAATCCAAGTCAACCTTTTTTTTTAATAGAATCAGTTGCTCTTTAACTCAGACTCATACCTACCAAAGGTCCTTATATTCCCCCGCTGTTACCATAGTATCTGAGTGCCTAACAATCTTTAACGTGTATATCCTCACAACACCCCGGCAAGGTAAGGATTATTATCCCCATTGTACAGATGGGGAACTGAGGCACAGAGATGCTAAGTGACTTACCCATAGATCATACAGGAAGTCTGTGGTAGAGAAGGAAACTTAAGCCAGGTCTCTCAAGTCCCGACCTAGCACCGTAGTCCCCGGACCATATTACCCAACTACACTGTTCTGATCATTTTAATCACTTTCATTAAAAAAAAGTAGTAATCTGTGTATTTCTCTACAATATCACTATTTTTTCTCTGCCAGATCCTGCCACCATTGCTCATGTCCAGCAGTACCATGCCTTGCAAGTACTCCCTTTACGCTGAATGAGACTACTTGCAGAGGAGGGTATTACTCAGTGTGAGTAAGAGGGGAAATCAGGCCCTTAGGGATTCTTTACCTGCTAGCTAGATTAGCAAGGCATTCAATCTTGCTAATTTATACTTACACTGTACCTGTGGGCTGTACCTCTAAATATTTCTAGAGTTGTTGAATTCCAGTTCAAAAGTCATTGACTGAAACCTTCAATAACTTCACTGCATTTCAATACAAACTTTGCTTTAGTATCATCTTTGATGGCTTTAAGCCCATTTTTTACAGACAGATTCCAACGTTTCTTAAGATTTCTGAATGTAAAGGCTCAGATTCCTGTGCTGAGTTCTGTGTGGTACAGGAGGCAGGCAATTGCCAGGGAGCAAGTTGAACTTCCCTGATTTTCTTGGTGCCTTTGTACTGGGCCTGGCCCATTGGCATAAGTTAAAGCACCTTTGAGTTGCTCTAATTTACACCAGCTGGCTATCTCCCTGTGGGACCATACGCCTATCTAGAATTGGTGTAATGGTGTAATGCCCTGTCCTGCCCCCTTGCCATTCCTAATGTGCCTCCAAAACTCTACCTTCCAGACTGTGTGTGAGGGGCAGTTGACATAGAAGCCAGCTACGGCAGCTGAGAGCTCCCCTATGGCCATAGGGCTAACTTCCATCGCTCTGTCTGCCTGAACTAGGCAAAACTATAAAAAAGTCAAAATATTTCATTTTGATATTTTTTAAATAAATTGTTTTCATTTTTTGGTTTGAAATGACTTTTCATTTAGAAATCTCCTTCAATTTTTTATTTTTTTTAAATACAAAAATATTTTTAATGTATTGACATCAAAATAAAACTCTTGTTCGACTGAAATTCATTTTTTAACTTTTCATTCGCCTAAAATTTCAAATCATTTTGTTGTTTGGCCAACCCAAAACTTTGGCTTTGGTTTTTGGTTTTTTTTTAATTGCCAGAGAGCTAAAAAATCTGTTTTTCCACAGAGCTCAAATCTCTAAAACCTTTTTCCACTGGAACAACTAGAGGAATCTAAGCCACGGGTTTCACTCAGTAATTTCCTTTTAAGTAGTTATCATTTTCTAAAGACTGAATAATTTCTGGATTTATTTTCCCATGCAATGTGTATATGTATCAATAAGTGTTACACTAAAAATGTAGGAAAGTGAATCACATCTTCTTAACGGGAGAGTGCCTACCACCTGGCTAGTTTGGGTCATGGTTTATTTATAATCATTCTAATGCATCATTCCAAGTCTAATAAAATTCATTGTGGTCTGTACCTTTCATCCTTCGAGAATCCTTCTTATGAAGGTTTGAATCAATAGATAATATATTGTTTTTTAAATACCCAGTGATTTATACACAGCTTGTTGTTCTTTATCTCATTTTTATAAGCCAAATTCATCCCATATTTAGCTCCCTTTAAATTGATGGAATGATATGTGGGACATAATTGGTCCTGTATTTCGGGGCAAAATTATTGTAGACCTCACAAATCCAATCAGATTTGGGCATATGAAATGTAATTTCTATCTTTTCATCCCACTTTAGGTATTGGAAGTAGCCACCAACCAATTAGCATCTCATCTACAGAAACAAGGACTTCTGATTTGCATACTTCCAGTACCTATATTTCAATGACATCCATCAGAGGTGAAAAGAGGACATTAAGGTCTCTAACCTACAGCAGCACCTTGCCTGATGTGTCAGACAGCTCCACTTCTTACTTAGAAAATTCCAAGTCTTCAGATTTACCGCAGCCCTCGTCTTCTGTAGCCCAGGCTGGAGGAAGTAATATCTCATCAAGTGACTTCACTGAACCTTCCACGGAGCCTTTGCTTACACATTCTTCCAAGATCCCAAGTTATTCATCTTCACCAAATGATCTTGCAGGTGGGTTTTGTGATAACTGGTTATTGCACAGTAATAAAAAAAGATAAAAAGAACCCTTCACTCCCAGAAAACTCAGTCAACCCGTTTTTTAAGGAATCAGATGCTCTTTAGAGGAACAGCCGTGTTAGTCTGTATTCGCAAAAAGAAAAGGAGTACTTGTGGCACCTTAGAGACTAACCAATTTATTTGAGCATGAGCTTTCGTGAGCTACAGCTCTCATGCTCAAATAAATTGGTTAGTCTCTAAGGTGCCACAAGTACTCCTTTTCTTTTTGCAGATGCTCTTTAGTAACTCAAACCCAGCAAAGGCCATAGAGTCAGAGTTTAAGGCCACAGGAACCACTAGATCATTAAGTCTGGCCTCCTGTTTATCACAGGCCGCCAACAGCACCAAGCATCCGCCCACTTAACCTGATGACAGAAATGAGACCACAGTATTACAGCCCACAGGATACTAGACTATTATGTGCCACAGGCAGAGGATAGGAGGGACTGAGGTGCATAGGTCCTTATATTGCCTCTGTTACCTTGGTATATGAGCACCTAACAATCTTTAATGTATTTTTCCTCACAACAGCCTTGTGTGTCAGGGAAGTACTATTATCCCCATTTTACAGATGGGAAATGGAGACACAAAGAGATCTGTTAAAGGCACACAGGGAGATTTGTAGCAGAGCTGGGACTTGACCTCAGGCTTCCCAAGTCCCAAGCTAGCACTCTTCCAGCTGGACCAGCCTTCCCTTCTAGCATGGAGCTTAATATTTTAATTGCTTGAAAAAAAGCCATTTTTTCTCTACAATGACACCATTTTTTCTCTGCCAGATTTTGCCCCCATAGCTCACATCCAACAGTGCCGTGCCCTGCAAGTAGTCTCATTATGCTGAATGGAAATGCTTGCAGAGGAAAGTTTTACTCAGTGTAAGGGGAAAGATTCAGGCCCTTAGTGACTCATGACCAACCAGTGGGATAGGAAAAAGCATGCAATCTTGATAGTTTACATTTAAACTGCACTTGTGGACTGTACTTTTAAATATTTCTGTAGGTACTGAATTTCAGTCATCAACTTCAGTGCTCCAACTTTGCTTTCGTAACACCCTTTATGTCTTTTTGAGCCCACTTTTTATAGAGATGTTAACATGTCTAAAGATTCCTGATTATAAAGGCTGAAATTCCTGAGCCAAGATCTGCTCAGCATAGGAGGAGGGGAAATTTCTTTGGATCAATGTTGCATCTTCCTCATTCTCCTATGCATGTGCACTGGCCCAGGCCCATCAGCATAACTTAGAGCAGTTTAGGGCTATGGAATCATAACTCTCCTGAGAACTGATGTAGTAAAGGTATGCCCTGCCCCCTTGCTAGCCCCAGAATGCATCCAGTACTCCACCTTCCAGGTTGCTTGTGAGGGGCAGTTGGTGAAGAAGCCAGCTGAGACCTTCCCTTCATCAAGGGAATTTTCTGCTGGCCTTTTAGGTCAAGTTCCATTATTCTCTACCATTTTCTTCGTCTGCATCAGTCACTGGAATCTAAGCCACAAGTTTCACTGAACTGTTTTCTTTTAAGTTATCATTTTCTAAAGACTGAATTTCAATTTCCAGGTTTGTTTTTACATGCGTGTGTGTGTGTGTATATATATATACACACACAATCAGTTTATAAGTGTTGTTGAAGTAACAACATGGGAAAGTGGACCACATCTTTTTGGTGTAGGAGAGTGCCAGCTACTTGACCAGTCTGAGTCACACTTTGATTATAATGATTTGTAGACATTATTCAAGCTCTAGTGATACTCATTTTGTCTATACCCTTCATCCTCCGAGAGCTCTGTTCATAAAAATTTCAATCAATAGAAGATATTTTATTTTAAATACACAATGATCTATACACAACTATTTTTCTTGATCTATTCTTTATCAACCAAATTCATCTCATGTGTAGCTCCATTTTAGTTAATGGATTTATTTGGTCCTGTATTTCAAGCAAAATTATTATAGAATTCACAAATCCATTCTGATTTAATGTAATTTCCACCTTTAGATACTATAGCTCCCATTGGACATAATTATCAGTACCTTAGCCACTCAAATAAAGGAAAAACAATTTCCAGTCCTCGTACTGACATTATTTCTACAGTTTAAAAATTTTTGTAAGTGCCAGTAGCATGCAATGCAAGCAGTGTAACTGGATGGTGAATTTAAGAATGTGGCTTGTTAGTCTCACAGTTATTTTTTTGGTGGCACTATTCATGGCTCTAATATTCTTTTTTGCAAATAGTAATTTCAGGGGTTCCTGAATATGAAGTGTACATGTCTTTCCAAAGCAGCATTTTCTCCAGACTGAAACTTACCTTGTTTTAATATTCATACATGCACTGTATTCATGTGTGTTCTGTTGGAAGAAAACTCATTCATGTGTTTGGATTTATGCATATGAAATTCTATTTTTTCTTTATCATATTTTAGCTGTGGAAAGTAGCCACCAACCAATTAGCATCTCAGCTACAGAGAAAAGGACTTCTGATTTGCATACCACCAGTACTTACATTTCAGCGACATTCACCAGAGGAGGAGAGAAGACGTTCAGGTCCCTAACAAACAGCAGCACATCACCTGATGCAGCAGAAAGCTCTACTTCTATCTTAGAAAATACTGAGTCTTCAGATTTACCCCAGCCCTCATCTTCTGTAGCAGAGACTGGAGGAAGTAATATCTCATCAAGGGACTTCGCTGAGCCTTCAACAGAGCCTTTGCTTACACATTCTTCCAAGATCCCAACTCATTCGTCGCCATCAAATGATCTTGCTGGTGAGTTTTGCAATTCCCAGCTGGTTATCGTACAGTTTAAAAAACAATAAGAAAGAACCTCCCACTCCCAAAAACTAAGTCAACCCTTTTCATTAAAAAATCAGTTGCTCTTTAACTCAGACTTATACCTTTGAAAGGTCCTTATATGGCCTCTAATACTATCGTGTCTGAGCGCCTAACACTCTTTAATGTATTTATTCTCCCAACACCCTGGTGAGGTAGCTGAGCGCTGTTATCCCCGTTTGACCGATGCGGAACTCAGGCAGTGAAAAACCAAGTGACTTGTCTAAGGTCAGACAGGAAGTTTGCAGAAGATCAGGGAACTAAATATGGGGTTCCCAAGCTAGCACCCTAACCCTGGACCAACCTTCTCTTCTAGCATTGCTCTGAATATTTTAATCACTTTAAAAAAAATAATAACCCATTTCCCCCCTCTACAATGGTATTTTTTTCTCTGCCAGATTCTGGAACAATTGCTCATGTCCAGCAGTGCCATACCCTGCAAGTACTCCCATTATACTGAATGGGATTACATGTATTGTAAGATATTAGTGTGAATAAGAGAGGAGATTCAGGCCGTTAGGGTATTGAAAACCTGCGGCTGGCCTGTGCCGGCTAACTCAGGCTTTCAGGGCTTGGGCTAAGGAACTGTTTAATTGCAGTGTAAACACTGGGGCTTGGGCTGGAGTCCAGGCTCGCAGGCGCCCCAAAGTGGGAGGGTCCCGGACCTTTGCTGCATCCTGAGCCCAAACATCTACGCTGCAATTAAACTCCAGTGAGCCTGAGTCAGCTGGTATGGGCCAGCCGCAGGTGTCTACCTGCAGTGTAGACATACCTTTAGTGATTCTTTACCAACTAGCTGGACTGTAGAGGCATACAATCGGTACTGCTTAGATTTAAACTGTACCTGTAGACTGTACCTCTATTTCTATATGTATTGAATTCCAATGACTATCTTCACTGAATTTAATTACCAATTTTGTTTTAGTAACCCCTTTTATGGCTTTCGGAGCCTGCATTTTACAAAGAGATGCCCAAACTTCTGAAGATTTCTGAATATAAAGGCTCAGATTCCTGTGCTGAGGTCTGCTTAGTGCAGGAGGAAGGGAACTAGCAGAGATCAAGTTACACCTCCCTGATTCTCATGGTGCATTTGCACTGGCCCTGGCCCATAGGCATAAGCTAAGGGGCTGCTCTAACTTACACCCTTATATCCCTATGGGATCATAAGCCTACAAAGAATTGGTATAGTACAGGCATGTTCTGTCCTTTTCCCTCATATGTCCCAGCATGCCTCCAATATTCCACCTTTCAGGTTGGGTGTGATGGGCAGTTGGTGTAGAAGCCAGTTATGCCATCTAATAGCTCCCTGCGCAAACGGAATTTTCTGCTGGCCATTGTGTTGCCAGGATCCAACTCTCTGCTACCTTTCTCCTCTGGAACAGCTAGAGGAATCTAAGCGGTAGGTTTTAATGAATGATTATCTTTTAAATAATTATAACATTGTAAAGAGTGAATAATGTCAGATTTGTTTTCAGGTGTGTGTTTGTGTGTGTGTAAAGAAGTATTGTTGTTCTGCTCAAGATGTGCATATAAAAACTTTAATTTTCAGATTTTAATTCCTTTTCAGGAGTTGGAAGTAGCCATCAATCAGTTACAATTTCAGATAGAGAAAAAGGGATTTCCAGTTCTCCTACTCATAGTACGTACGTGTCAACAACATTCACCAGAGGTGGGGAGAGGACATCCCAATCTCAAACTCACAGCAGCACATCGACTGCGGCAACAGAAATCTCCACTCATAATATAGACGCAGCCAAGTCTTCAGATTCAACCCAGTTCTTATCTTCTGTATCACAGGCTGGAGGTTTCAATATCTCATCAAGTGATGCCAGTTTCACGGAGCTTTCCACCAAGTCTTTGCTTACACATTCTTCCAAGAGCTCAACGTTGACTTTACCAAATGATACACCCAGTGAGTTTTCTGAACTCAAAAATCTCATTTTGATAAGAAAAACATTCTCTCCCACTCCTCCCCAATGTGGGTTATACATACTATTATTGCTAACAAATTCAAAGCCACTGCAGTTGCCAGGCGCAATATTTGTAAGCAGTAATGATTCTCTTCAATGAGATCACCTGCCCTGCATTTGGTACTTAACAGTAATCTAACAGTGTAGGAAAGTGGACCGTGTCGTCTTAGTGTAGGAGACTATTCACTTCCTGACTAGTCCAGGTCATACAAGTACTTCTACTGGATCATTCCAACTCTACTGACACACATTGTGTCAATACCTTTCATCCTCAGAAAGTCCCGATTATAAAGGTTTCCATCTATAGAAATTATATTGTTTTTTTAAATACTCAGTGGTTCATACACCACTATTATTTCTGTAAAAAGTGTCTATAAACCAAATTAATCCCATGCATAGCTCCATTTAAGCGGCTGGAGTTATTTGGCCCTGTATTTCAGGGTAAAATTATTATAAAACTCACAATTTCATTCTGATTTGTGCATATAAAATTTAATTTCCACCTTTTAATCCCATTTCAGCCATTGGAAGTAACCATCAGTCTCTTAGCAGCTCAAAAACAGAAAAAAAGATTTCCAGTCCTTATACTGACCGTATGTACAGTTCAGCTACGTTAACCGGAGGTGGAGAGAGGACATCACAATCTCTGACAAATAGCACATCTGCCCATACAACAGAGAGCTCCACTTCATATACAGAAATTGCCAATTCCTCAGAATTAATTCAGTCACCTTCAATGGCACAGACTAGAGGGACAAGTATCTCAGCAAATGATATGGGTTTCACCGGGTCTTCAACTGAGACTTTCTTTGTTCGTTCTTCCAAGATACCAACTTACTCTTCTTTCCAAAATGATCCTTCAAGTAAGTGTTTTGTGTGTTTGTCACCGTGAGAATGCCAGTCTTATATACAAAATCTCACCAGTGCATTGAATATTTTGCATGTGTGCAGACAGATGGTGCTCCCATATATCCATGTGCTATCTAAAGTAACCGAATCAAAGCCAAGCTCATACATTCTGGGGAATCTTTCCAAAAGGGTAAACATCCAGCCAGCTAGGATTATGAACATTGACACTGTGATTCTTGACTGGCTAGTCTTAGTAAGAAACTCAATAGATATGCCAGTCGTTTGCATTCTTCCTTATTTTTAATGGGTGGTATTTTCAAAAGTGCTCCTTGTTGGCCTAAGCCAATGGGAACTTTCAGTAGTAGAGCAGAGTTAGGCCAATTCAGAGGGCTTTTGAAAATCCCATCCTGTACTTCCAAGAACGTTGCCAAACTCCCTGTAAACGCTGAAATTCGCTATACACACAGTCTTCCTGTGATTAACTGTAAAATAAATGTTAATATTCTGTGTCATCCACGGCTAACTTTTCAAAGAGACGTGTTGTACTTCTGAGGGTTCCTGATTATAAAGTCTTTGATCAGTGAATTTTTGTAAGACATTATTTTATTTTATGCACACTAACATAGAACATGTCCTTGAAAGTATTTTCTTCCTATGGAGGCATGAGAATTCTTCTGTGCAAAACCGGATTTAAAAAAAGATGGGTTTTACTTAGTTTGGAATGGAGGAAGAGAGTTAGAGGATAAGGTCATTCTGAATGACATAGAGGACAAATGGACTTTTCTGTTTACCCTTTCACAAAGCACAAGAAGAGGACACGGTACTCAATCATGTGAAAAGGCAACATGTTGAAAAGAGGTAAAAATACTTGTTAGTGAACGTACAGTTCCTGTGCGGGACTCAAGGCTGCAAGAGTCTGAGGTTAAGATTTCAGAAGGTGTTAAAAATTACAATATAGTTACATTTGCAAAAGCATTGCGCTCAAGCTAGTTTTCACTGGCAGATAACCGCCTTATAAACTGACGGACTGAGTGGACCAATATACAGACTAGTACATTTTATGTATCAGACATATAATTTCAGTAAAATGCCAAAATATTTTGATATATATTACTGTCATGTTACTTTTTTTCTTCTATTCCAGGCATTGCAAGTAGCCATCAACCAGTTAGCAGCATCGACACTGAGAAAAGGATCTCTGTTTCTCGCACTGACAGCATGTACATTCCAACCACATTCAGTAGAGGTGGAGACAGGACATTACTGTCTATATCAAATAACAGCACCTCTGCCGAATCATCAGAAAGTTCCACTTTTTATGCAGAAATTTCCAACTCTTCAGATTTAGCACAATCCTCATCTTTTATGGCTCAGAGCAGAGGAAGTAACATGGCATCAAGTGATGGGGATTTAATTGCTCCATCTACGGAGCCTTTGCTTGTACATTCTTCCAAAATGCCAACTCACTCTTCTACAGTCAATCTACAAAATGCAACTCTGTTTTTCACTGGCACTGAATCGTCACTAACTGGCAGCTCATCATTATCTTCGCAAGTATTTCCATCCTCTTCCTCGGAGTCATCAGTACATCACTTGCTTTCATCAACACCATCGCCACCTCATTCATTTGCATCATCAGAGTCATCTCTACCATCCTCTTCATCAGTGATACCATCATTGTCACTCCCACCACCATCTTTGCCGTCATCTTTATCCACCTCCTCATCAGTTGCATCATTTCCTTTATTACCTTCATTTTCTTCATCATCTTCACCATCACAGACTGGTGACAGTTTTCAAACCAGTGGGTCCATGATTACATCGGGAGGGACAGACAGAATGGAGCCATCGACTGCTGTGTTCTATGGGAGTACACCCAGACAGTACAGCAATCACAGCAGACCACACCAGTTGAAAGAGAGCACTACTTTCAAAACCAAAGGACCACTTCCTCTTCAGACTGAACCTATGGAACAGCTCAGCAGTAGCTCTTCATCCACATCAGCTTCCACACTTGCAACAGAGAGCTCCACAGGAGGAACCTTCACTTCCAGTGGGGACCATTTTGAAAAGACAACTTTGCTTCTGACAACAGCTGCTCCAAGTCTGAGCAAGGAAACCCAACACACTGAGATGACAAAAGCATCGACCAGTATCTTGCCAAATACGACAAGTCAAAGGGATGTGTTTCCCGCAGCAGAATTAACAACAGGGAAAACTGTTACACTGTCAACAGACATGACTTTTGGGCCACCACGTTCTGTGCCAACTACAGATCATTCTCTTACTACGAAAACTCGCAGAGTTAAAACTGCTGTTGCCACGACACTGGCCTACATAACTGGAGTAACTACAAAAACAATGGAAACTAGCACTGCAACTAGCATTAAAATCACTGAAGAAAATATCCCAGCTACACATCCTTCCAAAACATCTTCCCCTAGCAAAACCACTGTAGGGTTTTCCACCACTTCGGCAGCAGCTATCAAACCAACTACTATTGCTCTGTTAAGTCGCACAAGGGCATTAGTAACTTCTTCTCATACAACAGGTAAAACACCTAAAAGGTTGCCCAGAAACATTGGATATGTAGAATGGAGAGAACATCAGACATAGCTTGTATGAAAATCTTTGAGGATATGAGTTAGTCTTAATTCTAGGTATTAAGCATTTGAAACAAAAGGAGAGAGTTTAATAGATCCCCCTGTTGAAAAATGCGGAAAATTTTGGTGGAAATTTTACCAAAAGTTAATTGAAATTCAAAAACCGTCGACCAGCTCTGCTTGTACATTTAAAATTAACAATTTCTTTATTTCTAATTAAAAAAATAGATACATATAAATATATGTCTTGTTAATGAGGAAAGACAGTTGGCCAGCATTAGTATTTGCATTGGAGCTTGTCCTGTTATTACAACCTATGATCATTTTCTCTCTCTATATGTATAATCTCCCTCAAAAGGGCCTGTCATAAGAACAAAAGAATGGCTGTCCTGGGTTAGACCAACGATCTGTCTAGCCCAGCATCCTGTCTTCTGACAGTGGCTGATGCCAGATGCTTCAGAGGGAATGAACAGAACAGGGCAATTATTGAGTGATCTATCTACTGTCGTCCAGTCCCAGCTTCTGGCAGTCAGAGGCTTAGAGACAACCTGAACACATGGTTGTGTCCCTGACCATCTTGGCTAATAGCCATTGATGGACCTATTCTCCATGAATTCTTTTTTGAACCCAGTTATACTTTTGGCCTTCACAACATCCGCTGGCACCAAAATCCATAAATTGACTATGTGTTGTGTGAACAAGGACTTACTTATGTTAGTTTTAAATTTGTTGCTTATTAATTTCATTGGCTGAGCCTTGGTTCTTGTGTTATGTGAAGAAATAAATAACACTTCCCTATTCACTTCCTCCACACCATTCATGATTGTATAAGCCTCTATCATATCCCCACCTCAGTTGTCTCTTTTCTAACATGGACGCTCCCAGTCTTTGTAATCTCTCCTCATATGGAAGCTGTTCCATACTCATAATCATTTTTGTTGCCCTTCTCTGTACTTTTTCCAGTTCTAATATATCTTTTTTGAGATGAGGCAATCAGAACTGCACACAGTATTCATGGTGTGGGCGTACCCTGGATTTATATAGTGACATTATGTCTTCTTATCTATCCCTTTCCTAATGGTTCGTAACATTCTGTTAGCTTTTTTGACTGCTGCTGCATGCTGAACAGTCGTTTTCAGAGAACTATCCACAATGACTCCAAGATCTCTTTCTTGAGCGGTAACAGCTCCTTTAGACCCCATCATTTTGTGTGTATAGTTAGTATTATGTTTTCCAATGTGCATTATTTTGCATTTGTCACTTGTTAGCGAAAGTCTAGGCCACATTCTGTATCCTTGCTGAGTCTATTGCCACTCATAGTCATAGCCATTATTATATTTTATATTTTGAAGAAAAGTAGGGAAAAGCGTTAAGCACAAGTTCCAGTTTTGCCTTTTGTCGTAGCCAGTTATGTGTTAAGAAAATGAAACCATATTGATATTAGAAGCAGAAACTTTGGCAAAAACTCGACTTCATAAAACAAGAATACATAATTTGGCAGAAGCAAGCATCTTCACACTTGGCTAGGGGAAAACTCTTTCTAGGAGTGAACTGGAATGGTGACTCATGTACTTATCCTTAAGGGACTAAGGGGGTTGAGGAAAGGTAGCTGTCGCTAGGTCATCAGTACACTGGGAGGAGTGCGTGAAGGACTTTGTATCACAAAAACCCAAGGGCGTCAGTCAGTCTAGTCTCCTTATTGTCTCAATTAAATATATTAAGTAAGGTTTTTATCAGAATGGAAATATAATCCATAATTAAAGCCCTTGGGGCTGAAAACACTTGTTAAACAGTGTAATGTTTACTGACTTCGGTCACCCCTTTAACATCCGTAGGACTACATAAAGTAGAAAGTACTACAGCCACTAATAAGTATTTACAGGACTGAACTCTATGACTGAATATTTTTATGACAGATTGTATTTAAGTATATAAGTATTCTATTGGGAATAGTGACATGGGTTCATGCATTTTAGGTGAGAGCCTAGTTTAATGTAGCCTCTTTTTATTGAGTGATTCATGTTTTGCTACTTTATTCTTTTTTAAAAAGTAAGGTTCTGACATTTACTGTAAAGAGGAAGTCCTTTCAGTGACCTGGATTAACACTTTGTACTATGGATTTAATAACGCTCTGTATTTTTGTAATGCCTTCCAAGCTGCTTTAAAAACGTTAAGGAATTAATAGCCCAGTTCTGCTTGCCTTTCTGATGCAAGCAAGCCCGTTGATTTCGGTGGGAATACTGAAATGAATATGAGTTGCAGGGCGGAGTCCCATGCCTATCTCATCATTGTTAGAGCTGGTCAACATTTTTTGAATTTCACGATTTTTAGCACTATTCCAAATCTTGACATTTAAAAAAAAAATGGGAAAAATTTTCCGTGTTTTCACAATTACTTCTCCCACCAGGTTTCAAAATGTTGACAAATTCATATTTAAAAAAATAAGGTCTGAAGCCTTAAAAGCGTCCATGCAATTCTATGCCTCCTCCCCCCCACACGCTGTTTTTGGTAATCGGTTTCCTCCCCATATTACAGCAGGAAAACTGAAAGACAGAGAAATACCTTTTGGTTACTTAATTTTTGGGTGCCGTGCTTGAGACACATTAGCCCTGCTCAGTGGCGTAGCTAGGTGGAGTGAACAGGGGCAGCGGACATAAAAAAGAGGTGCCACCCACTTGTACTCACTGCGTGGGGCTCCGGGTCCTCGGTGGCACTGAAGGCCCCTGCTGCTGAAGTGCAGCCGAGGAGCCGGAGCGCGCGAAGGCCCCCGCCGCCGAGGAGCCGGAGCACTGCCGGGTGAATAAATGAAAAAAGGCACCTAGAAATCAAAAAGGCTCCACTTGTGCTCAGAGGGGGAGCGGCCGCTCCCCCCGCTTCCCCCTTGGCTACGCTACTGGCCCTGCTTGTCAGAGGTGCTGAACGCTCATAACTCCGCTCGGGAGACGTCACCAGGGTGAGCGCTCAGCAACTCTGAAAAATCAGTTTGTCTCAGGCTGGACACCAAAAATCAGTGGCCATTTTTGAAATGTGTGGGCCTCCGTGACCTGTCTGTGGCCACACCGTAAGCCTGCAGCAGAGCCAGCAACAGCCCACGGGAGTTCCTGACTCCTGTGCTTTAACCCTAAAACCATCCTTACAGCCTTTGTGAATTACACTGCTCAGTAATAACCAGAAAACAGATCCGAGTGACATGTGCCCCCTAGCTTGTCTTGTAATCCCGTGTAATCAACAAACGAGCCAGCCCTTCTGGCTATGTTCTGCACTTGGACATGTGCATAATTTATCTTCCTGCTAATGAGACTAACACATGCATCATGAAGAGCATTTCCAGATATGGCAGAAAAGAGAGTGAGAATCCAATGGTTTTCCCCCCCAAGCATTTGAATGTGCAGTTGTACGGCATGCATAGCAACTAGACAAAACTACAGTCATGCTAGTCAAGCCAGGAATTAATCCCCCAAATGTCTTATTTCACAGTCAATATCTGCTCCACAAACCCTTGTCTGCATGATGGAAAATGCGTTATTAATGGTGTTATGGGCAAATATCAGTGCAAGTGTTCACCAGCCTGGCAAGGAGAAGACTGCAGGGAAGGTAAAGGACAATATTGCAGCCAATGGCTCCTCCATCTTATATTGGTGACAATTCAAGCAACATCAAAGAAATCAATCTACATTGCCTGAGTGATAGCAGTTTGTAGAAACAGGCTATGACCCCAGTGGCTAGAGTACCAGTGTGGAACTTAGAAGATCTGGGTTCTGGTTCTGGTTTTGCCACTAGCCTGTTGGGTGACCTTGGGCAAGTTCCTTCACCTTTTTGTGTGTTAGTGGGGATAATGGGGATATCCTTTATAAGGCACTTTGAGATCTACTGATTAAAAGTGATTGATAAGAGCTAGGCATTATTATTCACTGGGGCTGAAGCAAAGTCAGTAAAACAATGAGAATGGGAATTTGCATTTATTTGCATTTGTTCACTCGGCTTCGGTAGGATGATCAAGAACATGATAAATAATAATAAGTGGTAATGATGCAGTGAGTCGTACAGCAATACGCAGAGGGTCTTCTAGTTCTACTGCCAATGATTTCTTGTAATTCTACCAACTGTTCTGTTTTCTCCCTTGTTTCAGATGTGGATGAATGTCTTTCTAATCCATGCCCAGCTCTGGCCACATGTAATAATACTCACGGCTCCTATGTCTGCAAATGTCCTCTTGGATACAAGCTAGAAAAAGGAAAATGCAATTTAGGTAAGAGAATTGAACTGCAAAAAAAAAAAAAAGAAAGAAAGAAAGAAAGAAATACTTGGTTAAAAATAAAAATCTTCTGAGACAGAAATAAAACCAGGAATCAGAAAAATCCTTTCCTTTAAAATTTAGCTACTGATAACTGGTTTCCAGTAGCATAATTGTCTTTTATTGTCTTTACCGATATGTAGTCTCATGTATTTTGTGGTGGAATGTCCTGGGGATTCAGTGATATTTAACGATTTCCTCCACTTTCATAAAGCTATAGAAACATCATATTTCAAATAATGGTTACAGGTTTATTTGTATTTTAAGGACAGAAAATCCAGGGTTTTTTTTTTTTTTAACGAATTCTAACAATCCAAAAGAATTTCACAAAATACTTAGATCCTACTCCTACAAAGACTTAGGCGCATGTTAGTAGGGCCATTGTGAAATTTGCCTTCAGTTAGACTAATCATGTGCATAAAGTTAAGCAACTGTATAAGTCTTTGTAGGAACAAGGCCTTATTTTGTAGCTTTCGTTTCGCATATAGCACAATTATTCAATATCCAAGTTCCATCACCTCTATATGCAGAAAGACTCTGAATTTCACGCTTTTCTCATGACCCATTGTAGAAGTGACTGTTTTACAAGACTTTACTGTGAGCCACGATCTGAAAGAATTACAAATATGAAAATAGTGCTGTTGAATCATGCCTGAGGTATTAATGAAGGGCATTTTTAAGATGGACTGCTAGGGTAACAAATGATTTTATTTTATTTTGGACTAAGGGCAGATTATATAAACACTGTGAATCTAATTCTCTTCTGATTATGCCAGTGTAAATCAGGAATCAGAGACGTCAATGAGGTTTCTCTGGTACAAAACTTGCCGTGAGAGGAGCACCTGGCCTCTGTGTGTAGCCTGAAGGCATGGGAAAGGATTGGAGGCTTTATAATGTTATCAGCAACTGTATTTGTCTTTTGGATGGGATATAAAGCTGAAGCTGTGATCCTCCATTTTCACTGACAGTCTAATGACATTTAATAGAAGATTTAGGGATAGAATCCCTGCTATTCTGACCAAATTCCAACTTGGGTTATTAGCTTCTGCTCCGAGGCTTGTATAAATCTAGGTAGGCAAGAGTGCTTTTAACTCTAAACTGTACCTCATCTCAAAGGGCATCACACATTTCAGTCCCAAAGTTACCTAAATCCCACACAAACTTGACATCTCTTCTCTCATATATTTAACAATTAAATATTTCCAACCCCAAGCTTTCAAAACTCATGAGTCAGGCACCCCCAAAATCAATAAATTAGCTTAAAAACCACAAGATTTAAAAAAGAAATAGATTTTGAATTATTTTTATTTGCCTTCTAGTTTTTGAATCTAGAGGTTTGTAGCGGGATGGTCTGATGATCAGCTGTCCTAGCGGTCGGGTCGTGGACTTATAGTTTCTGCCAGCCTAGTCAACCCAAAGGGGCCCTGGCAGCAGCCTTAATCACTTCTGTGTGCTCAGATTGCTTTCACAGAGGTTCTGTCACTATAGAGGTGTGGGGGAGTGGGCAAGGTAGAGGGATCTGGGCCCACCTGTTCCACTGGGTCCTGACCCAGTGCCCTAGGGGTTTATCAAAGCATCTGGCCCAGCTATTGAGCTACCCTAAATTATATTTTCCTCTGGGTCACTTCCTACCAGTCTGGAGCTATTCCAGTTGGAGCATGGTCACTGGCTTCAGAGACAATCTTCAGTCTCTTAGTGTCATGTTGAAGTAATCTCTTTTAGGGCTTTCAGCTCCCCAAAAGTGGGGGTACCCAAATCCCTGCTTCTAGAGCAGCCTTCACAAAGCTGTTGCCACTCCTGACATAGCCCTCAGCTTTAGTCTTGCTTCCTGGTGGAGCTTGCAGCTCCCTCCCCACTTCTCTGAGCTACCAGTGTCCCTGCTGTGGGAACATGCCGTGCACATAGGCAGGGCCCACCCCTTAGCACAATATTGCTCCACTCCCAGCCCAACTTCAGTGTGGGGCCTGTAGACCCCATCACAAGTTTATACCTGGGTCACATTTTCAAGTTTTTCTCTACACTGACAAGGGCTAGAAAATTACTGTTATATTAAATAAAAAAAAAAGGAAGAAAGCTGAGGTTCTCACCTAATCACATGCCTCCAGTAGCTGAGGCTTTAAGAAAACCACCAAATATGGCGAATCATACCTGAAAATCATGAGAGTTGGCCACGCTGAGGTTATTCACAGCAGCTTCACCTCAACAACTGTATGCAATTTTGGGCACCACAACATAGAAAGGATTTGGAAAAATTAAAAAAAAACAAAACAGCAAGATCAAGATACATGATGCAAAGAATGGAAAATTAGAAATGGAATGAGCAAAATATATGCAGTATAAAAAAGAGACTTGGTGTGTGTGGGGGGGGAGGGAAGGCAGATTATCTTAGTCTATCAAGACCTTCAGAGTAACCATATAAATGTCCCTATAAAGACAGAGAGATTATATAGTACAAGAATTATTGCACCCAACACTGAAATATAGTTACCTCTTGGGCGGAATGCAGACTGATTAACAGCAAGTAGTACCACTGCACAACGGGTTAGGACAGGAAATGAAAAAGAACAACTCTCTCTTCAATTTAAGCTGCAGGAGTATTCAGTTAGATTACATATAACTGTCTGAGCTGGAATTTAGCTAGGACCACTGGGGCTGACACACAATCTCTTGTGAAGAATCCCATGGGATCTGTGCTTTATTAGTGGTAAACTCATTCATAGGTTTCCCATTGCTATAGTTTTCAACCAGACTAAACTCTGTCTAGCTCATGGGACATGATAAGATCTCAGCCTGGGGTATCAAAGCTGCATGAATTGTAACTAACAGGCTTTGTTTTTAATTTTAGTAAGAACATTTTTTGGTCAAGTTGCACTGAAACTGAACACTACTCATGGGAAGTATTCTGAACTCCATCGAATTGAAGATGAAATAATAACAATGGTAAGTGTCATTTCTAGAACACTAACAAATGCTGCTTCATGTAGATTTCATCCAGTGTCATGATCTGTGCAACAAAGCACAAGATACAGAGACTGTAAATCATGGGTTCATCTTTATACCAATGACATTTTCTGGTTCAGGCATTCGTCATTTACTATGTCATGACCATGTCAGATGCTAGGGACTTTTCCTCAGAGACTGTAAAATATGTTGTCAGCAAGACATGATGCTTCATAATTCTTCTGCTCTACTTTGCACTGATTAGGCCTCAACTGGAGTATTGTGTCCAGTTCTGGGTGCCACATTTCAGGAAAGATGTGGACAAATTGGAGAAAGTCCAGAGAAGAGCAACAAAAATGATGAAAGGTCTAGAAAACATGACCTATGAGGGAAGATTGAAAAAACTGGGTTTGTTTAGTCTGGTGAAAAGAACACTGAGAGGGGACATAACAGTTTTCAAGTACATAAAAGGTTGTTACAAGGAGGAGGGAGAAAAATTGTTTTCCTTAACCTCTGAGGATAGGACAAGAAGCAATGGGCTTAAATTGAAGCAAGGGAGGTTTAAGTTGGACATTAGGAAAATCTTCCTAACAGTCAGGATGATTAAGCACTGAAATAAATTGCCTAGAGAGATTGTGGAACCTCCATCATTGGAGATTTTTAAGAACAAGTTAGACAAACACCTGTCAGGGATGGCCTAGATAACACTTAGTCCTGCCATGAGTGCAGGGGACTGGGCTAGAAGACCTCTCGAGGTCCCTTCCAGTCCTATGATTCTATGATTCTGTTATTCCAGTGCTTCATGACAGAATTTATGTTTGTGTGGGAAGAAAAAATGAATCAGCTCTTTGGAGCAAGACTTGTCCTTTTGTTCTGTTTGTACAGCATCTAACTCAGTGGGGTTCTAGTCTATGACTGGAGCTCCTGGTTGCTACCACAATACAAATAAATTATAAGAATGCTGCATTTGCAGAAGAGTACACATAGTGGTAACATTAGACTAACTGCATATAGCCAAATAATACTGGTTGGTGTTCATGCTATTCCAATCTAAGTTGCCCATCTCTGGGAAGGCAGAAACCACAGTTGATTACTCACCTGGAGAACCAAGCTTCAGCAGTGAGAAATGGGACAAGAAAGAATAACTTCAGCTCTTCCTTCATGCCAGGGGATGGGCTTTGTTAGGTGTCAGAATAGCAGCCGTGTTAGTCTGTATTCGCAAATAGAAAAGGAGGACTTGTGGTCTGATAAATTGGTTAGTCTCTAAGGCGCCACGAGTCCTCCTTTTCTTTTTGTTAGGTGTGGAACTTGAATCATTAGCTCCTTTTTTCTCTCTTGGCTGAGGGATGGCTTGCCCAGGCAGGAAATAAGGATGGGTGATTAGGCTGATAATTATGTTCAAAGATCTGCTCATTTTTTGAATCTTAGTTCATCCCACCCCATCAATACCTCAGTGGAGAGACCCTGCTTCAAGGAAGCTGAGTGAGTTAGACTAAGGCAAAGCTCATTCTGACTAGGCTGGGGTTGCCTATAGGCTTCTATTGAGTGCCCTCCCCCTAGTGACTTGTTGTACTGCAGTTTCCGGCGTAGGGGTTATAAAGATCTTTATTTCCGGTTCGGAGGCAAACTCCGGACCAATAATCCTGGGCTCCCCCAGTTTCAGCAACAAGTCTCATAAATACCAACCTGGTGCTGAAGTTGCTTGGAAAAGAGAGCTGTGGCTCTGAGTACACTGCGAGCTAGGGTTGTGATTCCCCTGCTTGCGTACACATACTCCTTTCTTCTCAGCAAGCTAGCCACGAGTATCAATAGCAGTGTAGCCGTGGTAGCCGTGGCAGTGGCCGCATGGCATAGCTGTGCCAAGTACATCTCCACCAGTTTCAGGCAGGTTTATTCTCGGCACAACGAAGCCAGGCCTCCGCGGCCGCTACGATGTCTACACAGCTATTGCAACTCGTGTAGCTCAATACGAGCGAGTGCGGGTTTGTGTACGCAAGCAGGTGAATCAAACTCCTGCCTCACAGTGGAGAGGTAGCCGGTGAATCATTCATACCAGGGGTAGTTCTCTTGCCTACCACGTATTCATTCTTGTCTTCGCACAAGTTAGATCAGCTTTTTAGCAGCCCTTGGTACCAGCAGTTCACTGTGCCTGTTCACCAAGCAAGGCAGCTTGCCTGGTGACGTAGCTAAAGCAACAGGAAGAGGGAATGACAGCCTCCGTGATATTGACTAAACAGGCTTAGGAGAAATCAAAATAAATGACTGAGTCCGAGACTCTTTCCTTGAGGGTGGGATTCGGGGGGAGGCGCCTTGGATAATGTGCAGCATCCAAGTGTGTCGTTCTGAATAGTGCCTTATGCAGGCCTCTTTCCCCACTGCTTTGCTGGCTGGTCCTCGCCCATCGTGCTCACTGCACAGCAGGCCTGGGACAGATGCCCATTTTTATAAACCATAGGACTTTGCTCATGTCCAAAGCTGCACAATGGCGACTTCATCCTTCCCTTGTTGACAATACAAAGCCCCTCTGTCTCATTAAAATAGGAGGCTGTTGCGAAGGTCAGAGGTCCCTGTTTAATTCCCGAACAGTAATAGAATATCCATTCTTTCCTTCAGCTGAACGTGTCTCTCTCAGAGTTACCTGGCTATTACAACTCAGTAGTTAAAGCTGCAAGGTAAGGAATATAATACAATGCATGTGTCGGGGACAGGGGAGAAGCTACCTCCTTGATCTGAACAGCCTAAAACTCTGGGGAAGTTCAGCTCTGGATCCAAGCTTTGCAGCTGATAATAAGATAGACACAATGTGGCATAAGAGGACTCGCTATGGAACTGGGAGCAAGGAACACTGTAGTGCTCTGCCACTGACTTTCTTTGTGGCCTTAGGCAAGTCACTTATGGCCTGATTTTCAGAAGTGCTGACCAACCCCAGTTCCCAGTAAAGTCAATGACACCTGTTTTCAAAATCAGGTCATTAATATCCCTAGGCCTAACTTTGCCCCTGAAAAATACGAGTATCTCCTCTCATTGGCTTCATTGTGAATTACTTGTATCCCACTGCGGACGGAATTGGGTCTTAAATGTATATGTTTGCCGTGTCTGTAAAGTGGGGGTAACATAAGACAGGGTTGTTATGGGGACTTAGCTAATGTTTGGACAGTCTTTTCAATATACATCAAGTGTTGTATGCACGCTACGTATTACTGATATTAATAGCAATCTGCCGAGGACATATTAACAATGAAATAAAATGCAAACGATGATGCATAGGTTTTTTTTGGCAGGGAGTCCAATTCTGTCCGAGTTTCAGTCCAAACCACCTTTTCTTTAGCATCCAACGTGACGCTCTTTGACATTGTTAGCAGTGTACGAAGCTACATTAGTGCTTGCAAAACTTCTGCTGAAACCTGCCAGTTCATCTCCAAGTATACGCTGCTCCCCAGAGGTAAATAACTTCCGGATTGATCATAATGAAACTGCAAAACAATCAGCTTTTTATTTGTTTGTTTGTTTTTAAAGTGACTGTGGCCTTCTGAAAAGTCCCTTTCAAATATGTATCTCATTTAAATGGAAGTCATCTTAAAGCCCCTGCGGTGTAAAAAAAGACTGCAGATGTCAAGTTTTATCTTACCCGCATGTGTGAGTAATCTGCCTCTTTATGAAAATGTTAGAGGGGTGAAAGACATTACACCGCGCAGAATTACAGTTACTGTGAATGGTCCTTTCTCTCTCTGGGGTACGGCATTGAATCCCATCCAGATCAAAAAAATACGAGACTTATTCTAACCACGTGGTTTGAACCTATCAAAATGGTTTGAGTGCAGGGCTTAGAGCTGCTAAAAAAGGGGAGGGTGACAGCAAGGTGAGGTTTATAGTGAGACAAGCCCTCCCCGTCAATTTGATGATAGCCTTTCTTTGCTGCTATGGTTAATCTGTATGTGCTGGGGGTTGGGTTTTTCTTGGTGCCAGATTCCATTGGTAAAAGTGAACAGTATTAAAATGGTTCGAGGCTGAGTAACATTTCTATACAGACCCCTTCACCTGCCCAGGCCCAACCATGGGATGCAGTGTGTGACTAGGGACCAAAACATGATGCATGCAGGAAACTTCAAAATGCTGTGGAATTCCTTCCTTCCATGGACATAGGTTTCTGTAGCCTCCATTTCATGAGACTGATGTTACAGTCCAAGTGAGGGGACCCCAAATGTGTGTGCAACACAGGTAGCCTTCAGACTAAAATGAGTGCTATCCCATGAAATGAGGGACATTTGAGAGACAAGGTTTCCATAAAAAAAAAAATCTGCATCCAGAGCTTTGTGACGTACTTGTAGATGTTTTGCTTTGAAGATGAGAGTTGGCAACATTTAGCCTTGGGTCTGAGTCTGAAAGAAAAATTGGTCTGGCCATTTAAGCTAAATAAGCATAAAAATGAGAAATTTGGTAGTTTTAAACTCCTTTTCTCATAGATTTTAAGGCCAGACAGAGCCTATTTTGCTCATCTTGTCTGACCTCCTGCATAACACATGCCAGAGCTCTTCACCTGCTAATTCCTGCCGCCAGCCCAATTAAAGTGGTGGCATTTGATTTGATAGGCCAGCTGAGCCCAAGTCCAGCGGGGGCCTCTTCCGCTCTTTTGTTTTGTGAGGGTTAGTGTCTAATTTCCCATTAAAGATAAACAGAATTGTTGACAGCACAAATTATTCTCTGACACACATATTGAAAATCAAGCTGACAAATTCAGGAGGGAAGGGAATCAAGAAGAGCTGGGACAGTAAAGGGTTATGAGCTCCAGTTGGGAAACATATTGGCGTAGAAATTGTAGCAATGATTTATTATTACCCAAGTTCACACAGCTTGACCCAGCTCTCCTCAGTCAGGCCTGAACCAAAGCCCAGCAAAGCTAATGGAAGTCTTTCTGCAGAGGGCGTTGGAACAGGCCTGTAGTTCAGTTATGAATCTTTACAGGCAGTAAGTAACTCTAGTTCTCTTAATTCTTTTATTGGGCCAACCACATTCTGTGACTCAGCAGTAAGATGATGGGATGCATTTTCATGCTGCTTAAGCCTGTGGAGAGGATTTGGGTCCATTACAGTGATCAGATGGTTATTGGGGTTTCCTTGTTCTGCGATTATATGTATTGCACAGCCTGGTCCATAATCTGTAAAAGCTCAGAGAACTGGTTTTGGGGAGCGCATTCCTATACTGCAGAATTCACTCAATAATACCTTGTACTTATATAGCCCTTCTCGTCTTCAAAGTACTTCACAAACATTAATTGCTCATTTCCCTGTGTTGCCGTATTAAAGAGAATGGAAATGAGGCAAGGTTAAGTCATTTGCCCAAGGCCACATAGTGTTCTACACTGCAGATAGACAACCACTGCTGGCCCATGCCAGCTGACTTGGGCTCGCCAATCTCGGGCTAAGGGGCTGTTTAATTGCAGTGTAATTGTTCGGGCTCGGTTCTGCAGCCCAAGCTCTGGGACCCTCCAATCTCGCAGGGTCCTGGAGCCCAGGCTTTAGCCCGGGCCCCAGTGTTTACATCACAGTTAAGCAGCCCCTTAGCCCAAGCCACAGGAGCCCAAGTCATCTGGCAAGGGCCAGCCACCAGTTTTTATTGCAGTGTAGACATACCCATAGACTCAAGATTAGATCTAGGATTAAAATTCATGAGTTTCTAGCTCCTGGTTCTATGCTAAGAGCGGTGGGCCATACCCCTCTCTTTCTCTAGTCTCCTAGTTTGGTTTGGTTGTATCAGAAGTGTGGGGAAACTACATCTTGGCTGAAATTATAACAGTATTTGTGGAGCATGCTGCTGTGGTTCTCCTTACTATATACTACATCTTTACATGTCAGTGGTCTGTCTGTCTGTCTGCTAGAAGGCGGAGATGTGAGGGCATTTACGCTGGAAGAGCTTTACAGAGTGAAGGATACTCTGGTATCTCTCTAACAGGGATTTAATATTTGTGTCCCTTAATCTGAAAGAAATCATCTAGACTGGAAGTACAAGTTGTGTATGGCAAAAAGAACAGCATATACAAATTCTTTTTTTTTAACTGAAGATTTCATACACATTTAGACTGAATATCATGTACAACTTCGTAATGGAGAGATCTGTGAGACTGCTGAATTCTGTCAGGGTTGGACAAAGCACCCAAGAATATATTGCAGGGAACAATGCTGTGTTGGTTGGTAGGAGATAGACCTGATGACTCAGTAGGTCTTTTCTATCTCTAATATCTGCGTTCAAATATTGACCCTCTTAATAAATACATTATGTATTTAGTGCAGAAATGGGCAAAAATCTCATCCAGGTTATAAGCCCTCCAAAGCCAGGGAGTGTACAGATGCAGAATTTTAATTCATGCCCATTATATTATTATTTATTATTTGCATTGTGGTAGTGGCTAGGGACCACAATCATAGACAAGAACCCCATCGTACAATCACATAACAAAAAGGATATATATCACAGAGCTAGGGACAGCTGTAGAATTCAGATCCATGTTCTGGTTCCAACCGTTCCCTACATATTTGGGCCAATCTCTGTTGTAGGGACTGCCATATCGGGTCCTGTGGCTTTATCTCAAAAGGGAGCAAATGTTAATAAAGAAATAGGGGAAAGCATTACCTGATCTAAGTGTGATACATGGGGAAAGCTGATGATCAACATGCATAACAGTGAATTTACAAGGACATGAGCTGATATTGGTGATGTCTTTATGGTAGTTGGTGGATTGTGTAAACAGAAGGACCCTGAATGTGACAGAGAGACTTCGGAATGCAATGACTTGGATGGCATTGCAGTCTGCCAGTGCAAGAGTGGATACTTTAAATACAACAAGATGGATCATTCCTGCAGAGGTATTGTTCTTTTCACAGCCAGATTTGCTTTGGTTTTTGCTTAATATTTTGTTTCCAGTTGAAATGATTTTCACACATGTGTTCTTTGTATTTCTTTGCATGCTAAGCAGCTTAGTGTTATGAATAAATATTAACAGTTTAGATTTCCTCCATTTGGATATGGTGCTTTACAGAAGAACTTGAAGATACTCTCTCACTACAGTTATCATAATATTATCGCTTTCGGGAGCATGCTGTGCAAGTCAGAAAGATCCAGTGAAAAGAGACAAGGGGTTGGAATGCCAGAGGCAACAGTTCAGTGGCATAGTGCACAGATAACATAGCACACTTTTTTGTGTTGCTCTTTTGTCTGAACTCCAGGGGAAGTAAAGATAATTGTTTTAAATTCACAAGCTGTATTGATGCATCCTTAGTATTTTGAAATGACCAAGTAGCTGAGAAGGAGTGTGAATTTATTTGATCTTAAAAAGGGTCATAATAGACATTTAAATACAAGAGCCAGTATCTTAACTAGTGCCTTAGCAGACACAGAGCTATTTCACTACATTTTAAATAAACTATGGTCAATTTTGCTCCTGCGGTGATCAAAATAAATGTACCTAGGTTCAGTGGAGCCCATTGCCTGCTTAGATTAGTCAATACTGTGGTGTGTTGTAAAAAGTCCAGCTTCCTGATCATGAATACACTTATGACTTTGATGGTTATTATGTACTTTTTGTTTCTGGCTGTGAGTGCAACATGCTAGATGCTGTATAAACGTGTGGGAAGAGTGTCCCTGCTCCAAAGAGCTCACAATCTACAAAAGATGACACCCTCTTCCCCTCTCTGTCTGTATGAAGCAGCCAGTTGGTGATTAGTCATGTTTTGACAATATCACAATTTGTAAGAGACCACATGGACATTGGATTGGGACCCAGAGTCCTGGCTTCCAACCTTGGTTCAGCCATTCTGTGTGATCTTGGGCAGGACACTTCACCTGATTGTGCTTGTGTTTTCCCACCCCACCTTTATTTGTGAGCTCTTTGAGACAAGGTATATCTCTTGCAATATTTATATACAGCGCCTTGCACAATGTGGCCCCAATCTCAATTGGGATCTGTAAGTGCTATTGTAAAACAAATGAATCCTTTGTGAGTGTATACATGTGGGGCGGGGGGTGCCTGTGTGTAGGGGGGTATTTTTGTTAAATATGTTGACTATCCCCAATTAGTCCTTAACCTTGCCATCCTTAGTTGGCTAGGTTCTTGTCGACAGCACAATGAAAGAACCTTGTCAACCAGCACTAAACAATTCTAGTCAGGTCTGCAGTGGCTCTGAAGTAAGCTTAAAATAATCTAATATGCCTTCGCTCAAAAATATGTGATAATGTTTCCCTGCTTTCCCTCATACATGTAATGGGATCTCCAGCAGCACTGGCATCTAACAGCAACAAAGAGGAGGAGACAGGATGCGTGAAACCCACATAAAATAACATCTAGTTTTTATTTCAATCGGCTCCAGTCCGAGAAAGTAGCGTTCCTTTTTTTCCTTCTAAGAATGGAGGAAGGTGGGTATCAAATGATGCGGAGATTGCTGCAGTGTACCTTGCAGGGGGTGGGGCTGAGAAGAAGGATGGTCCAATGGTTAGGGTGCTAGCCTGGGCCTTGGGAGATCCAGCTTTTAGTTTCTTGCTCTGGCACAGACTTCCTCTATGACTTTGGGCAAGTCACTTCATTTCTCTGTGCCTCAGCTTTCCCACCTGTAAAATGGGGGTAATAGTACTTATTCATCCCCTGGGGAATGCTGTGAGAAGAATAAAGATTATGAGATGCTCAAATACTATGGTAATAGGGGCATTGTAAGTACTTCAGATGGGATGGGATAATTCTGTTCTCATTCCATCTGTAAAATAAATAGGATACTTTATTGGTCAAGGGGCTTGCAGCAGAGCAATAAAAGACACACCATCACCTCTGTTATGATCAAATGAGCAGGACAATCAGGCACCACACATTTTAGACAGGATGACACCTCCATGAGCTTGCAAATGGCATAGGTGAAAATTGCTCTAGGGCAGATGGCGTTTTACACACAGCTGTGTTGAGGGGAATTTTACCTCCATGTTATCAAGAGCTGGGGACAGAGCGGGAAGCCATCTTCTGTAGTGAGAGTGGGGTAAGATCTTTTAAAGAGCTCATGGCTAGATTTTTCAAGTGCTCAGCATTTGTAGTTGGGGCCCGATTTTTGACAAAGCTGTGCTCCCATTTAGCCCCCATTGTGCAATCCAGATTTTCGAAAGGACTCAGCACCCAGCAGCTCCCAATTTGACATTTACAGAGATTTTTTTCAAAAGAGTACCAGACCCAATGTGCTGAGCTCTTTTGAAAATCTGCCCTGCATACAGGTGCCTAGAAGGGGACTGAGTGTCTGGAAAAACTGGCCCTGATTGTGGGTGGTGAAAATGTAGCCCATAGCATGTTAAATGCTCGCAAGTGGTAATTCTAATTATAGTGTTTCTTCCTGTGGGAAGTGCCTTTTGTACTGAGCTACCCGGAATCCTTTACAGGAAGTTGGGTGTGATTTGGAGAGCACCTAAGGCATGGTGAATGGTCAGCAGCAAACCTCCAGGAGTGTCTCTTTCCTGGCAAAAAGCTAAAGCCCACTTGTGGGAAATCTGCCACCTAGAGCACACTGGTAATTCTGGCTCCACAAATATCTAGTATCAATAAGGTTTAAGGGAGGGGTTCTCAAAGGAGCTGGAAGGAGCTTGAAAATCTCAGCCTAAATACCATTCATCATACGTTCCATTCATCTCCAGGTAGCCCCTGTTCCCATCCTTTCCAGGACAGAACACCAAGCCTGCAGGGTTGATGAAGAAAAGGCCACCACAGGCTCGCCCTGTCGGCTTCTGCAGGGTGCATTTTTCTCAGTAAAACCAAGTGTCCTTGTGTGAGCAGAGAAAGGCTCTGATCACTTCCTCCCATCCAAAAGGTTCCAAGAGACCCCTCAGGCATTCACTGGGTGAGGGAGGTCGAGCTGGACAAAAAGAAATCCTGAGTGAAAAGTCAAAAGAGGACTGGAGTTGAAAGTTCTGCCTGGCTGCAGGCCTCTCTAGTCCTTAACACCCCTCTGCCCCCTTTCCACCTCCCAGTTTAGGTTCATAGGCATAGTTTGACTTCTGTATTTGGGGGGCAGCTCCAGTCCGGCCAATGGGGACGTGTGTGGGGGTCCAGTTCCGCAGCTTGCGGGGGCAACGCACCCCCTGCCTCTCCCGGACTACACCGATGTTTAGATTTTGGAATAGCCGGTAATAGTTAAAAACTAGGAGAGTGGGAGTGGCACAGTGAGCTCTCCTCGAAGCAGATTCAAAGGAACTGGGGAGAGGTGTGGGAGGGAAGCTGCATGACAGGAGGGGGAGAGCTGGGGGGGGGGGGTAGTGAAAGGGAAATAGGAGCAAAAAGTTCTGCAGCTCTGCATTACATTTGAAGAACCCTAGGATGCACCGAAGTGGGGCATTCAGGACCTGCCCCTGCCCTCTGTGTGATAGCTTTCCTGTCTGTGGGACTGGAGAATTTTGTTTGCAGTAAGGGGGGGGGTGCACTGACTGCACCACTGTGCAGTGGCATCCCTGTGGGTGAGGGATTGGGGTCAGGTTGGGCCACAAAATCCGCCAGTCCTTCCCCACTTCCCAAGCAGCAGAAGAGTGCTAGGGCTGCAGTCACCTTTGTGGAGTGCAGCCTGGGAGATAGGATTGCTCCCAACACAGGGTTCTGTAATGCCCAATCTAGTTACTCAGTTTTCCTCTCCTGGATCTGGTAACATGAACAAACCACTCTGCTCTTCTGCTGACACCTCACTATTATGTATAGGTCAGGTGTATATAATTTTGTATTCATGTGCATGTTGTCCTGGTTTCTGGTTGATTGAGGCACTTATCACTTGTCCTTCTACTTGTGGACTCTTCCTTGATTTTGTAAAAGTCAAAAGAGAAAGTTCATGATAAATCTAATACAAAGAGTATGATGGACAGACTTAATTATGAATGATGATCGGCAACTAAATATCCAAAAAAAAACTACAATAGCAAGATATTGGGGGGGAAATGGTTAAAAAAAAAAGCCAGACTGGTTTAAAAGAGAAATGAAAGCAGCAATACAAAATAATGTAAATAACAAATGGAAAAAAGGGAAAGTTGATAGCAATGGAAATATTTGGTAAGGGAAGGAAAAGGATACAAGGAGAAATCTATGGCCAGAAGAGTTAAGTACAATAGGAAAGAGTTTCTTAAGTATTTCAGGAACTGAAGAAGCCCTTATAATGGTACTGGCCCATTATTAGATGAAAATGGTAGAACAGTCGAGCAGAAAAGGCAGAAGTGTACAGTACATATTTCCATTCTGGAAATATGTACTGTATGAAAAATATGGGAAAAATTCAGATAATGTATTCATATCATATGATGAAATACTTTTCATTCCGACAATAACTAAGGAAAATGTTAAATAGTAGCTACTAACATCAGACAGTTTTAAATCAACATGTCCAGAAAACTGACACTCAAGTTTTTTAAAAGAGTTGCACTCAAGAGTTTTAAAAGAGTTGACTGAGGAGCTCACTTGACCATTAATGTTGATTTTTAATAAGTCCTAGAACACTGGAAAAGTTCCAGAGGACTGGAAAATAGCTAATGTTGTGCCAGTATATTAACAGGGTAAACAAGATGATCTGGGCAATTATAGGCCTGTCAGCCTGACATAATTCCTGTGCAAAACAATAGAATGGCTTATATGAGACTCAATTAATAAAGAATTGAAGGAGGGTAATATAACTAATGCCAGTCAACATGGGTTGATGGAAGAAAGATCCTATCAAAGTAACCTGATTTTTTTTTTAATGAGATTACAAGTTTGGTTGATATAGATAACAAAGTTGGTATAATATACTTAGACTTCTGTAACACATTTGTCTTGGTACCACGCAGCATTTTGATTAAGAAACTAGAACAAAACAAAATCACCAGT